TTAGTTGGTTGGAGGTGACAATAGTAAAAATTCAGTTTTAGTTGAGTCATCCAGTGTGCAGATTTCATGCTTACAATATGGTTTGCTATTTTTGTTCAAGATTTCTCATGTGGAATATGCATTCATATGCTTCCAAATGGATTGGGTCTATTGCATATAATCAGCATTTGCAGTACTGTCAGTGTTTTCAGGATACAAGAAATTTCTCTGGGTATTTGCAAATAGACGGTGCTCATATATTTGGAAATGTCTGATCAGCTTCTCTGGGTAGTATAGCTTCCATAAAGCGTCAGATATTGCTGTATAGCACAGAAAATATGCACAATAACTCCCATCTGTACTGCAGACATGCCCTGCACTTCTCCATGTGGAAAAGCACGGGTAACTACGCAGTTTCAGGTAGCACTTTAGCGCAAACCTCTTCTGTTATTTTGTGAGTTTTACTTTGAGCTCTGGACGAACTAACTCATCTCAACATCTTGGTGAAATCTGCCATTGACTTTTCCTCTTTTCCTTGTGATACTATGCTTTGATTTAAAGTGGCACAAAATCCTTCCATGCCTTCTGGAAGATTGTCATACTGGGCCAAGTTTTACTGATGTGAATACTCTTAGTGGAGTTTTTTTTATTTACCTGGAAAATATTAAAAAATAAAAGTGAAAAAATATCCCCTTACAGAAAATCAAAGTATTTTTTCTCTTAAAAACAATTTAATAGGCAAAAACCAACCAAAGCCCCTCTATTTTTAAGTCCTTGATTTAGTGAGAAGACATAGACATAGCTGATAATAAGCATAGGTGCTTTGCTGAATAGGAATAGAAGGAAGCATATGTTTTAAATTAATCACAAGCACAAATGCTTTCTTGAATCATAGGAAAGCAGCACTTGGCATGAGAAAAAGTAATTTTCTGCAACAAAAGTTAAATGTAGTCTTTAAATTTTAATGGCTCTGATTGACCTTTTTCTTCATTATTATTTATAACTTACATTCCTCTTCATTGTCTAAAATTATCAATTCACGTTGAGTTAATGGTAAAATGGTTGCTGCTCTTGGAAATATCTTCTTTTTCTTTTTAAACTACATGATTATTTTAATAATAGTTGAAAGTGTATTAGGTTTCCTGAGCCATAGGCATCATAAATCAAACCCTTTTTTTTTTTTTTCCAAACTACATGTATAAGTTAGTAATTCCACTCCCAGTTCTCCATATGTATGTCTCTTTGCATGACTTTCACCCTAACCACTGGAAAGTGCCTGTAAAATAAATGGCAATGTTGAATTGCTGTGTTGTATAATCTGTGAGGAAACTGTCAGTTTTCTTCTGACATTTCTCAAAGGATTCCAATGTCATAAACAGCAAGAAGGGCTAGAATTATAGTATTAGCCTTCAAAGCTGATTATTAATGTGTAACGCTTATTTCATTTAAATTGGCATCCTGTGGAAGCTGACACATCTAACACCTGATCTTCAGTTACTTGCCCCAGCGCTGGGAATAACTTATTGCAACCATGGAATATTTGGTATGCTGTCCTAAAAGGTGAAAGTGGAAAATCTCTCTTGGAAGGAGTCATTGCTTACATTTTACAGTGACTTTTCGGACAGTTTCATGCATCTGCAAGCATTTATGAGATACGCATCCTGCTTTGTGTCAAAACTGGTGAGATCCACTTAGAAACTTCTCCAAGTTGCACTGAAATCTAGGTTTTGTCTACCTTCACTGTTAGCAATGGTTTATATATTTAAGCTGCAATCCTTATTCAGAGATTCGAGCTGTTAAAACATAGATAATGAAAGGACACTATGTGTACTACCTAATGTTCTCATTGTACTGTTATATAGTTAACTATAAACATGTATGCATCATGAATCAGAAAAGATGGGTTTATCTTTACTATGGATTTCATTATGAATCTCAGAGGAAAGGTTCTCTGTAATAGCAGAGGGGTTAGTTGGTTGGAGGTGACAATAGTAAAAATTCAGTTTTAGTTGAGTCATCCAGTGTGCAGATTTCATGCTTACAATATGGTTTGCTATTTTTGTTCAAGATTTCTCATGTGGAATATGCATTCATATGCTTCCAAATGGATTGGGTCTATTGCATATAATCAGCATTTGCAGTACTGTCAGTGTTTTCAGGATACAAGAAATTTCTCTGGGTATTTGCAAATAGACGGTGCTCATATATTTGGAAATGTCTGATCAGCTTCTCTGGGTAGTATAGCTTCCATAAAGCGTCAGATATTGCTGTATAGCACAGAAAATATGCACAATAACTCCCATCTGTACTGCAGACATGCCCTGCACTTCTCCATGTGGAAAAGCACGGGTAACTACGCAGTTTCAGGTAGCACTTTAGCGCAAACCTCTTCTGTTATTTTGTGAGTTTTACTTTGAGCTCTGGACGAACTAACTCATCTCAACATCTTGGTGAAATCTGCCATTGACTTTTCCTCTTTTCCTTGTGATACTATGCTTTGATTTAAAGTGGCACAAAATCCTTCCATGCCTTCTGGAAGATTGTCATACTGGGCCAAGTTTTACTGATGTGAATACTCTTAGTGGAGTTTTATCTAGGGAAGATCTGAATAGGAAATGTGGTTTATGATGCATAGGTGGGATCTCATGTCCTCCAGTACAAAAAGTTCAGCTTCTGCTCCCTATATAGGATGAAACGTGAAGCACAAAATATGAGTAATAAAACTTCTTCACGTATTGATTCAAAATGTTTTTGTTTCCACACTTCCTCCTGTTCACTTTACCTGAGTATGCTTTTCTTCAATCAGTTTTAAATTTTTTGTTTTTTCCTTTCATTGACAAGTCCATTTTTCTTTTATTGTGAAGCTTATTGAGAAGCTTTTTCATAATCAGGTATTAGAATGTAAGTTATTTAGGGAAGAAAGAGCATCAGGTAGTCAGGTTCTTTTTAGAAATACTTCCTTAAATCACATTTTATAACAGTAATGACTCCCTCGTCCATTTGTGTGGTTTCAAAAGGTTTTTTTTTTTTTTCCTTCCTGAGTTTTTCTTACTGTTCTTTTTCTACTGTTGATCCAAATTATTATGGTATTTAGTTTTGAAAAAAACCTGGTATGTAATGTTTAAAAAATATGGAATGGGGTTGAGATTTCCACACATAGGGAGATCTTTCTTCTTTGTTTGACATTTAACCAACAGCATAGTGGGAATAGTTACTACTGATGTGTAATTGAAGCTGATTCAGCAGAAAATAGCACGTCTGCAACACCACTCTCTACCCAGGATGATTATTTTCTGCTGCATCAGCTTCAGCTTTAACATCAGTCACTATATAGGATAATGTGCTTGGGTTTGGCCAACACAGGAGCTTCTGGAAAGGTTGGGATTCTGAATGCTTTCTTACCTCAAGGATTTTAAGACTGTTACTAACGTTTGCTGTGATTTTGCTTATTCTTTTTATTTTATAATGACTTTTTTACTTTATGTATATGAAAAAGATGTTTGATTTTTCCAGAATTGTATTCTGGATTACATCCCAATTTTATGGAAACTCTCTGACTAATGAGATTCTTACTTTTGACTAGAAGTTGCAGCAAAATGGCATGTATTGTTTAGACAAATGGGAACAGACAACAGGCACATCAGCTTGATTGACTAAGGATTAAGAACTGAACAATGCTAATGTTTTGGAGTGGAGGGGCTTGTGACAAATTCAAAATAAATAGGCTTAAATGAAACACAGAGAAATTCCATTACTCATCAAAGAGTGGGAACTAAAATACAATTTTCCCACTTTCCTTATATCACTTTCTTTCGGCACTTTGCTTTTTCATTATTGTTTCCCTTGCCAGTTTTCCATCTCATGCAATGGGCAGTATCTCTTCTGCTTGTTTGTTCCTTGTATGTATTTTATGTTTGTCTTAGGAGAGCGTAACTAGCATAGCTGGAACTACCAGAAGAGCAGGGAGTATTACTATTGGTCTGGGAGCAACTGCACTTGCTTGGGAAGGGGCAGGTTTTATAGGTAGTTGGGTGGGATGGGTAGACAGTAGGTGAGTGATCTGGAAGGAGAGGGACAATATAGCATTACAGAGAGCAGACACAAAGGCAGGTTTCTGTGTCTATGAAAAGTAAAACTACCTCAAAATTCTAGGTGAGTTGGGGCCTTGTCACATGTAATTTTATGCCTGACAAGACATTTGCCTTTAGCATATTAACAACCTGAGTCAGGATTAGTTTACTGAGTAGGTAGGTTGAATTTCTCTGATATGTTGACTTAATCTGTATTTCATTAGCCTTTGGAGTAAAACTGTGACGTAGAACTGAAACTGCTAGAATATCATAATGTGTATTAGCCACAGGATTGATGGGTGGCATATTTTTATGAAGTTTTTATAGGGGAACTTTCTGTCTGTTTGGCCTTATATTCTTTTTTTTCCCTCTGTGTTTTGTGGTAATTTTTTTATTAATATATAAATACAAAAAATTATCAGACAACAATTTTCTGGTAAATCCATTGCAGAAATCACATCTGGTCTGAAAACTCTAATGAGGGATTCATTCCTAAAACATACTTGTATGGAGAAGCTATATACAGGTCTCAAAGCTAACACAGCATGATATATTTAACTGCTCAAAAAAATGTTTAAGAGGGAAAAAACATTCCATGGTTAGATATCTATCTAATGTTTAGATAATTTGGAGAAAACATGGAAGAACCTTTACTCCCTACTCCCATGGAAATGAAACACTAATTTTATTGCATTTTTTAATGACTCTTTTTAGGCAGTGCACTCACAAAGATGCTTTGTAGAAATTCAGAGAATTTGCATGACAAAAATATCAGTAAGCAACCATAATTGTGTTTTCTCCCTAATGAAGTCTATCTAGAACAAAGGTAAAACTAAGTTAGGCTTGTCTCTAAGGATTTTTTTATTTGCCTGTAGGGTTTATGCTGTTCTCTGTGATGTGTTTTTTTTTTTTTTTTTTTTTTTTTTTTTTTTTTTTTTTTTTTTTTTAAAGGATCATCTGTTTCAACTGGAATCGCACAAATTTGAGAGAGGACGAGGCAGGTGCCCTTTTGACCCCAGTTCTTCCTTCACCTCCATCTTAATTGGTAATGATCTTTATGTCACAAACTTCATGGTCCTGTCAATCTGTCATCCTAAGTCTTTTTCTTCAGCACTCCAAGGTGTTGTCAGCTTTCCAATGCAACCTTCCAAATGTCAGGCTTAATCCTAATGGTGCTGCCCACGTGAATTTTACATTGCAGGCAGCATTGACTTCAGCAAATGTGTCTCGTAAAAGTGAGTAGATGTTATATTATATTATGTGTACCATTCTGCAGGGGTAATTGTCATGTAATTTTAGGAATAATAATTTCCTGCTTTCCTTCAAAGCACAGTAGTATGTTTAGCTCAGTCTTTTACACGTGTGAGAAATACACAAAAATTAATATTTTTCATCTTCAGAAACTTAATCTGAATAATAGGCATCCTACAAAAATGTTTGTGAGTTTAACTTTTCATATCTGAGGCATTGGTTGTTTACATAAAATATAGCTTTTTAAAGTTCAGAATAGAAGGGGTTTTTTTCAAAACCTTCTTCCAATAAAGCTACCCAAAACTGATGATTCCCTGTTAGGAGGATTGATCTTATACTTGACATTTATAAAAACAGAATTCTGTCTAAGTCTTACAGTGCAAGAAAACTGTGCTGAGAGAGCACTCCACTGTGTTTTGCTGTTAAGTATGTCATGGGAGGGCTGGGACCTTAGAAGTTCTAGTACAGCAAACCATACGTTCCTCCTCTTGAATGTGTTCCTGAAAACGTTTTGTGAGATAAAGCAAATATAATCTTGGCAATATTATAATACATTGGCTAAAAATAGACTGGAACAGCAGGTGAAAGGGTGAAAGTTAGATGCACTAGGGGGCAACACATTGGCTTTGTGTTTTTAGGAAACATAAAAAAGGTGAAAACTGAGATTCAAAAGGAATAGTCACTGAAAGAGAGCTAGAAAAAAAGAATCCAAGGATCAAGTATACATTTTCAACTTTTCAGAGATAAAAATGGTTTAAGATTTAAAGATCCTTTCACATTTGCTTTTAACTTCAAATCGTAAAGCTGGATTTTAAAATCAGACTGCTTGAGTCTCTAATTATGAACTATAATGATACAGGTCAGCCATATTTTTACAGGCTAGGTTTATTCATTCCTTTACATCACCAAACTACTTCCAAGAAGAGTCTCCACTAGTAACATTAAGTCTTTCAAATTGTAGCAATTCATCAAAATATTGCTCATTATCAAACTTTATACCTAAAATTCTTAATAGTTAATGGCTTAGATAGCCACAAAAGAATCAGGAAAAAAAAAATTGATTGACCTCCCAAAATCCATGAAGTAAAGATTGTTATGCTTTTCCTCCACTCTTGTTTCTAAATTGTTTCTGCAATTTTTAACAGGTTCCAGTCTTAGCTCAGCCTGGGAACAAAGAGTCATCCCATGGAATTTGCTGTAGGCCTGAAACCTCATGGTCTAATCCTGAAGACCTTCACAACCGTTACTCAGACAGAACTAAGTAAATAAATTAACCTGATCACGTTCCTACTATGAGATCAATGTGAATTTTATTTGCTTAAATGGAAGCCAGATTGTCCCACTGAACACTTCAAAACTTACAATTAGTGCTCGTGTTTCTGGCCTATTCATTAGTTTGCTTGAATTGTGGGAGGTCCTAAAGATCCTTATAGTTTTACCTGAAAGAGATATTCATTATATAAGCCCTTCCTCTGATATACGGTGATTAGAGACATCTAACCACCATAGGGTTGTAGGGGTTACAAGATCTGACAAAGGGTTATAAGATCTAGCTCATAAAGCTAACAACTCTGTAAAGCAGCAAGATTCGCAGGGGGAGGTGATGTATTTTTATCAGATCTGCAAAAACACAAACAACTGCAAAAACAGACAAACTTTCATCCCTTCATCAAGAGTAATAAGATCTGAGAAAGTTATTTAGAGGCTGCTTTCTGGGCCTCCATTGGGAAATCCTGTCTCCTGAAATTTACAAAACTAATTAGACAAAAAGCATATTCTTGCATAAATAGGCAAAGCTATTCATGTGTCTTTACTGACTATCCAAAAATCATGAGAATTTTCTTTATGAGGCTGTTTATCATTTAGACATAAACAGGGTTTCCAAATTAGGCAGTGTCAATAGTTTTCAGTGAAAAAGAGATTTCTTAAAATGTCAGCTTCGTTGAAAATGTATTTTCTGTTAGGAATAAAATTAAATCTTCTCCATGAAAATCAGCTTTCAAATATGAAGAATAAATAGTTTGGTTACAACTATTTCTGAGAAAATTCAAGTGATCATAGAACGATATTTAGAAACCATACCAACATCCTTAATGGTATCTATTATTTTCATTTCAATTGGAAGTAAACACTATTGAAAAATATCCTAATGAAATTTGTATTTCCTCGTATTCTACTAACCAGAGACACACAGTTTATCAGGTAAACAGAATTAATTCCTCAGGCTGTTCTTCAGACTACAGAATATAAATCCTTTAGCTTTGCACATATCGGTTTGAAGAGGCTGGAAGACTTAGATACGAACATTGTGAGTAGTCAAGATTCTTTTTTCTTTTTTTTTTTTTTTTGGAAAATGAACTTGAGTCCTCTAAGCTGAGCGTACTTTAAAGGAAGATGACGCTCTTTCGTTCAGCCAGAGTCCTGGTGCCAGGCCATGGAGGTCATGGTGGTCCCCATTGTTAGAGCTGTCAACTACACCATTTACCTGTGAGTGCCGGTCCTCCGGTCATCCCTCCCAAAGTTTGGAGGTTCCCTTCCTTTTGTGAACTCCATATTTTTTTTTTTTTGGAAAGTGAATCTGTAATCACAGGAGACCAGAACACAGTCTGGCCTCCTCCTGGGATGGAGTAAGAGTGTCCCTGAAGCCTGCTCCCAAGGCTGCTGGTGGCCTCGGGCCTCCTGTGGACATGCAGCTGATGTGTGTGTTCTTGATCAGGTTTTACGCAAACCTGTAACAAAGCTTTCATATCCCAGCTTTGTCTTTTTCCTCTCTAACAGAATGATTGAAAATCTGCTTCCAGGTTAATACATTCAGCTCTATACCAGGGTGGCAAAAGATAAAGAGTGAGGATTAGACCAACAATGAAACTTTGCATACTTTTGATAAAAGTTTAAAAGCTATTCAGCTTGAAAGATCATTTGCAGCATACCTAATTAGAGCCAGATATGGCTAGATTAATTGAGGAAGAAAGAGTAGCTCTTGTGCTGTATCTCTTCATGTATGTCAACACTTTAGGTAAAATCCTTGCTTCAGCAAAACAATAGTTTGTGACTTGGCTTTAAAACTAAATAGCCATGATGTAGTCAGTTTTATTACAGGTTATCTGACCCAGTGGTAAAGTAGCTTGTGATGAATTCTTCAGTTTATGAACAATTAATTTTTAGTAATTTATTGTCAGCACCAAGAAATGGAATGGATGTTGGATGGCAGACATGTTGAATAAAATGTATGTGCTTAGATAAATTGAATTTAAAACGTTTGGCTTTCATTTCTCGCCCATCTGCTTTCAATAGCCAAAACTGCTTTTGATATCAGATCACGCACACTGATTAACTTAGACCACAGTAGTTCTTGAAAGCTGATAAATTAGTTTATGCCTGCATGTTTTGATAGCTGTAATACTTCATCAGCAAGTAATGACAAACTTATATTACATTTGAATATTTTTTCCATCAAGAGAATCTATTCTGATAATAGTCTCAGTTATAACAGTTTTAGAACAGTTTCATATATTTGTATCTTTTCTTTTACTCTAGAAAACAAACTAAAAATGACATTTTTCTCTCAGAGCACAAGACAGAATAAATGAGTGACAGACAGGAAAAAAAACTAGTATACTAGGATACTTAGTTATTCACCAGCTAAGGAATAACTAACCTCTTTCGAATTAGTGGTTTTCTACCGTGGAAAGCATCAATTGTTACAAAAGTGAATTGGTATTCTAATTTTAGTTGTGATAAGAATAATAAAAAATAGAAAGGTAGATATGGCTGACAGTGAGGGAAGCACATGGAACATGCTGCTTAGCTTTTACTCTTTTATTAATAATTGGTTAGTCCACTCCACAGAAAGTGATATAATGGGGATTTCACACAAAAAGAAGTACTACTGAGGAACAATCACTTATGTTTCCGTTACTCCTTTCAGTCTGAAGCGGATACACAAAAAACTCCCAAAACAAATGAAGGAAACCCACTTCTGAGGTAGAAGCAGCCCACCTATAATAATCCAATGTACATACTAAATGCTTTAAATGAATGTCTATGCATTTGAATATAGAATATATCTAATAAAATCTAAAATAATCAAGAATGTTTTCACTGAAAGTTAAAAGCAACATCTATTTGTAACAGGATTCAGTCAAAATAATTGTCCCTACTATGTGATAGAGATTGCTATTGATGAGTAAGGTTGATCTGTTAACTAGTGAGCCTATGCACTAGTGAGATGGCAAAGGCTGTCACATGTCTCTTCAAGCAGAATGTTGAGAATCCCTAAATGGAAACAAAAAATGAAAAATATCTTGTCTGATTGTGTGTTTTATTCTGTAGCAATTAGTAGTAATAGATAGGGCACATAAAATGCAAAAAGGATCAGAGACTTTGAGGACTTCCAAGAAACAGAGACTGCAATAGGACCACAATAGGTCTTCTGTAGATCAGCTGTATCAAAGACAGTAAATATGGGTTCTTAATTAGTAATAGGAGCCACCCTAATGCAAAGCATGCATGGTTAGTAAAGCAAGAATAAACCAAAAGATACTTCATCCATCACATTTGCTACCGAAAGCATGTTCCTTCCTCACAAAGTTAACTTGTATGTAGTTAAAAGAGATCAGAACAAAATCAGACTCAATTTTTTTATATGTTCTATCTAACTTTCCATGTTATGAAAGGCATTTTCAATGTGTTAAAAAAGGTAGGTATGAGTAGACCTAAATCTAGTGAAACACTTTCCTGAATGTTTTATGTGTACTTATATATGTTGTATGTACTAATTTAATTGACATATCTTAATGTCCTTATAATAATCACTTATGTTCTGACTGCAGAAAACCTGTGAGCTCACCCACCCTGAGTAGCATGTGTGCTTAGGGTGTACAATTGCAATATCCGGACACTTAATTAAACGATTAAAATAGGGAAAGCAAAGACTGTCAGTATTTTCTACGATTTTGTGCTTCAATCTTTTTCACTTTAAGGTTCATCACCTAGGAATTCTTGTTGTTTTTAGAGGAAAAAGGTTGTATTTTATTTCTTTCATTTTTCCCTCCAAAAATAGGGTAAAAAGTAAAAATATCTTTTAAGTGGTCCCAATTAAACTTTGATGTACTTGCTTTCTGAAAACGAATAGTAGCTAAATAAATATCTAAAAAGGGCCCTGTTATCACTTGAGTTAAAAGTATTATATGAGGGTCATGGGATTTTTTTTTTTTTGTTTTAGCTGGAGAAACCAAGCTGTGTTATCAGTTATATTTTAGTAATTAATTTTCAAATGTATGTTAATGCAAAACCTCCTGAAGCTGTAAGAGGGCAGCAGCAGTTAAAGCTCTATGAAAATGTTCAATGCACAGTTGATTTTCACTGGAAGATACTAGTTTATTAATGCAATTGAGCAGCAATATAAAACCCTATGACCAAGAGAGGGGTGACTTATTTGTATAGTAGCTAAATCATTTCAATATAGAGAGAAAAAAGTAGAAATCTAGCCAGGATTTTTCAAAACAAAACATTACGTAACTTCTAAACCTGGATTTAGTCAGCACCTGTAAAAATCTAACAGTGTTTAGAACTTTTAATGTGGATTTAAAGGACATGATCAAAAGCATACTGAAGAGGAAAAGAGAAGATCCTCTTAATGTCAAAAGCGTAAAAGTTTTCAGAATTATGCCGAATGTTTTTGTGCTGAGATCTTTGCCAGTCAGTCTCATTGGTATTATCTCATTGCTTTCCTGAGTCCTTCACCTATCTATTCACACTTGTCTCACGTTTAGTAACACTCTAGGGTAAAAATCAAATTTAATTTCTGTATCTGTACAATATCTTTCATGGCACAATATCTAGCCAAGACTGAGATGTCTAGTGATCCTCCCAGGATGTCATAGATAAAATCAGCAATCAGCTACTCTGGCTTATGGTAGAATGCCACACCAGCAATTTAGCTACATATACTGATCCTTTTTACATGTGTCAGACAGAACGAATAAGCTTCATATCAGAACTTCTGAATGTCTGGACTTTTAAATGTCAGCCTTAATCACTAGCAATATATGAAGAATCATTTGCCCTGGGCTGATGCCTTTTCCATGTTTCACTACCCTGCTGAAAGGATAGAAGTGTCATGTTTTGTATTATTGCACCATAATCTGCAATAAAAAATAGTCTGAGATAGTTATCCAGTGGAAAAATTTAAAAGGGGATTTATGACTGATGTAATTCATTAATTTTGATTGTAAACATTGTCTGGAACGTTATTCAGACATTGGCAGGTTTTGTTGTTTAAGCACCTCTGACTTGTATAAAAAAAAAATTAAGCTCACTAATAGTTTTGGTTAAATTCTACTGATGCAATAATTTATATTTACTTTTAATTTTACTTGCCAATACTTTACAGTAAACCACCACCATATATTTTACAAGGCAATATCCATTTTTCAGGAGGTGAAACCTAAGGGAAAACTATGCTCAGCTCTGAATGGGAAGAGGTCTGTGAACCAGCCCCAGCTGCCAAACTCCCCTAAACTTTTCAGAATCATTATTTAGACTTCTGGTACCATTAAATTCGTATGTATCTCTTAGCTGAAACAAAATTCACACTTTCAGGGAAACCAATGAGGAAAACTTTTGCTTTTGCTAAAATCCCTTTTTAACGCCAACAAATTTTATTTGAATTGATCAGTTGTGTTTATTTTGAGTAGGAGATAGGAAGCTGTGTCACTGAAACCTTCACTCAGATTATCCAAGAACTGGAAATAATTTATTTCCTTCTTTTTGTGCAGTTTATGCCTGCTGTATTTTTTTATAACATAAGGCTGCCACCTAGTGACCGTAACTGTCTACTTTTAATGTTAGGCCTAACCTTGCTAATTGGATCCCATATGTATATAAAATATATTATTCTTAATGTTTGGTCAGTTAAGAGAGAAATGTACCTATGTTTAACCATAATGTAGAATTACTGCCTAAATTTCACTGAAAATAAAATATATCCAGTATCACAGTTCTAAATGGGTCAGATAGGGCATATTTTTGAATATATGTGTCCCCATAGTCATCCCTATATGCATATATAGTTGTCCCCAACTACAGACAGATATTCAAACGTTATGGGCACTCAGTATATTATGTATAATATTTTGCAATTCTTACTTAATTTGTAAATGCCACCTAAACCCTTTTGAAAATCGAACACGATTTCTGCTCCCATAAATTTTTCAGCAAATATTCACTGCCATTTGTGCAGGATGGAAGAGATCTAGGGTCCTGTTCCTGCTCTGATGAATATTTTAAGGATCTAAAATCAAGTAATTGCTCTAGCACAGAAAAAGAGGATCTTTTCCTCTGTCTGCTCAGCTAGCAAGTTATGCCCATGCAGTAGTTATTCCAGGTAAAATGGAACAACTCTACCAGGCTGCCTGGAAAGACCTCTCAACCTAATAATTTTTTTGCTTGTTTATGCAACTCACTTTAAGGTGGTGGGTACTGCTTGTTACCTCTCCAGCTGAGCAGCTAACTGAATTCAGCCCTCCAGTATATCAAGCATGTGCTTCACTAACAAATGTTTTTTCAGTTATATTTTGTGCATACTAAATGTAATAACTATGTTCAGAAATTGTTGACCTCCTTGAGGCGCAGTCTGTGAACCTCAGGATGGTTCAGCCTTGAGCTGTATCCATACAGTATTCCCCAAATCAGTGGTTCAGGCAGCTATCACTATTCTTCCTTCGCACTGACTCTGAAACGTGTCGCTGCATTTTAATCTCATTTTCTGACCCCTGTTTGTCCCACCACACACTCCTCCTTCTCTCCCAAAAGTTGCTATGGTCTTCTTGCTAGCCATTCTACATCTCTGAAATACTACTGAGGCCCCTCCAGTACTGGGACCAAGCAATTAACCGCTCCTTATTAGGAGTGGGGCATTTCAGGAGCTGCTCAGAACCAAAGCCAGAAGCAAAGTTAGAGATCTTTCCACTGGTAAACGTTTAGGCGCGGACAAACGGTATCTCTAGGGCTAGTAACCTAGGCAATGTAAGTGCCTGATGTTGCAGTAAGATGGTATTTTAGTGCCCTCTTTTTGTGTGTGTGAGTCTATCCCTACGTCATTGTGTCAGTCCGGAAAATGAGGGTGAGCTCATTCATGAAGTTTCATAATCTTGTCCTCATGTTGTTCCAACTGCAAATGCATTATAGTATTGATTGGAACGATGTCTACACACTCTTTAAAGTACACATAATTTACTGACTCACCTTCTCACCTGAGCGTGAGCAAAGACTAATGAGCCATGTCTTTTCCCATCATAGGTAATGAAATAAATAAATAGAGCACTATCTTTTTTTTTTTCTTTTTCTTTCTTTTTTTTTTTTAATGTATGGTCTACAGGTGGTGAACTTTTTACTGGACTCTACAGTGACTACTGGGGAAGAGATGCTGCTCTGTTTCATACTATGAATCGTATGTCACATATCCGAACTGAACCTGATAATGATCGTCTGTTGAAAGGTACAGGAAGTAGAAGAAGAAAGAACGTGGAAGCAGAGATGCCTTATATGACTACAGAATTTCTGTTAACCAGAAATTAAAATTATATTATCCACGTACACATTATCTAATTGAGGATGAATTTGATTAAGCCATCTTTTTAATTAAATTCTTTTGATTTCAGCAAAACTCCCTGCCAGAATTAACAAATTGAAATCTTTACTCTGATTACGTATTAGATTTAGCAAGTATAACTTTGAAATCCTTCATTTTTCACTTTTAAAAATACTTTTGGTTTACACTCTGAATATTGTGTGTTATTTCATGACATGTCAGATATAATGAAAGTAATATTTTTAAATTCTCTATTATATTAATAGGAACTTCCACTTAGAATACAGTATTCATTTTTTTCTAGATGAGATCATTTTGTCTTTAATGTTGTAATAGAGCAACCGAACCTTTTGCCAAGTTGTGTGATACAGAGATGTCATGCAATAACATAAAATAATAAAAATCTGAAGCTTACACAGTTAAATGAAATAAAAAGTTTAAGCATGCTATTTTAAATAAAAACATGAAAATATTCAAGAATAAAATATTGAGAAAATAGATGTGATGGGAAATTTAGAAGATGCTTCTTACTGTTCAATTTGGAATGAATTTGAATTTCATAATGCAGAAATTTCCTGTGAAATGCAGAGTCAGAATCTTTATTTGTCTTGCTCCAATAGTACTGACATATTTCATCTTAATAATGACAGAATTGCAGCAAATGTTTGGCAAGGAGAGTCAGCAATCACCTTTTTATAGTGATTTATATGGATAGCATCATCTTTTCAGTGAATCTAGCTAGAAAGGATATGCACAATTTTTCTCGTGGCCAGTTGTCTCTTGAATCTAAAGAAAAGAGGGAAAACAGTTCTGCTGCATGCTTTTTCCTGAATGAATCTGACCTCAGACTTCAATTAAATTAATTTTATAAATGTGTGTTCAAAATGTTCTTATATCTACTTAAGTCCGATACTTAGACCTTTGTTGAACTGCGTGTTTTAACTGGCCATATATAGATAAAAACAAACAGGTAAATGTTCTTTTCTTCACAGCCTTCTCTGGAAGTTTTCATTATTTTAAATTTAGGATTCTTGAAATTATGGCCTCAGATTTGTTTTTAGTTTCTTCTGTACTTGACATTTTAAATTTGCAACGAAAGAATACTTTTAAATGCACCATGAAAATCACTTCAGAAAATGAGAAAGCAAAAGTTCTCTAGCAATGTCTTAAAATAAGGCTGTTTCCATACAGAACAGAAATTTAAAAAATACTTCAGTTATCCACTGCCTCTTAAGAACTCAAACCAATGGAACGAATGCCGTTCTTATTTAAAGAACTAGTAAAAGCTTTGCTACAATTCTGTGAGATGAAATCATTCACTGCTTTGCTTGGTTTGAGGTCAGAAGGCATACAGCAGAGACCAAAGTTCAAACCTTGCAGTTTCAATTTTTCAGTGAAAAGTCAAAACTGGAAAATTTCAGGTTTTTATTTCATGACAAAGATGCACAAAGCATCTTCTATCTGTACGTCCATTCACCATCTATTGGTTGAACTATCAGACCTTTTTATCTAAAGGCTGTTTGTCTAAAGCTGAGGTTGGCATTCCTATGTCTGATTTGTATGGGAACAGAGCTTGTTATGTAAACACACTACCGAGTTTTACTCTAAGCCAAATTAAAATATATAAACTCCAGAGAACAGGACTGGAAAGAGATCTTTTTCATGTACATATACAATGGAATATTGATTTGTGAACTGGAGCTACAAGAATAGTTTGATACTAATATTTTCCATATGTTCTCTAGATATCCACCCACATGGGATAATTTTTTTTTTCTATTTCCATCACCCTATTCCCCAATGGAAGCTCTCTGACTGATAGATCTTTGATTCTTTTATTTTTATTTTTGCTACTAGCTGAAGATTGAAAAAAAGAATGTTTTAATTAACTTGATCCTCAATTCATTTTTGTTTTCTTTTAAAGAACCAAAGTTTGTTGGCTCATACCTGATTCCTGACAATGAAGACCATGATGATAACAAAGTATATTTCTTCTTTACTGAAAAAGCATTAGAGGCAGAGACAAGCACTCATGCCATTTATACCAGAGTAGGACGCGTGTGTGCGGTAAGATTCTTTTCCTTATTCCCTACTTGAATGAAAAAAAAGCATGTTCCTTTTTTTGGTCCTTCTCCCACAGGCAAATGTGGCATCAGTTAATGTATGTGAAAGCAAGATATAAGTGTGAATGAAAACCCTATATCTAAAAATCCTCAAGCATTAGAAGACTCAAAATCCAACCCTAAATCTAGGCTTGAAGCTGAATTCTGGGAGCGCAAAGTTCAGAAATCTTGTTATTTAACTCCAGCTCTCTTTGTGCTTATATGCGGTAACAGTAATAGTAATTGCCCGCAGGACTTGTTTACCAACCAGATTCTGTATTCCTATCATGGCTCCATCATCCTCAGTATTGCTTGCAAGTCCAATGCGTTTTGCAGCTTTCACAATTGATACAACTTGAGGGCCCCACACATTTCCACGTGACAGGACAAGCCCATCCACCAGCTCCCTCTGATGTTCCTTCTTGTCTTCCTGTTCTGTCTGCAAGGACCTGACATGACTCATCTCCGTTTGTGCAGGGTCAGCACCTGTCCTGCCAGTTTCATGGCTTTTGCAGCCAATTGTAAATTTTGAAAACTTATTTTTAATGCGTGAACAATAAGAGGGACCAATGTCAACTGTCTACAGTGTTTTATAAATAGCAGCTTATTAATGTTTTCGTTTCATCTGTTACTCCACTTCCTCTCATCAACCATTAAGGAAAATTGTTCCCTTTTTGCAGATAAGGATAGTAGAAAAAAAGGTTGAATTGTCCAGCAAATTATTATTACAGCCAAGCATAAGTTTACCAGAAGGAGCAGAAAAGGCATGAGGAGAGGTCTCACTCCCCTCACTGTCCTGTATGATCATTGGTTGCCCACTCTGACCACGTACTTGGTGGACTGATGTCTTTTTGACTCCCTCCTCCCGCTCACACCACAGAGAACTCAAGCAGTTGCTAGAGGAACAGGTGTTAACATGTGCGCTCCTCAGGTTAAGCCACCCACAACTGGTCATCTCCTAATGCTTAAAGAAGTTTGGGTCCATTCCTCTTCTATTAATTGACTAAAGGTAAGGCTGGTAAGAGGAGCTCTCTCATTCCCACTGGGATTACATCTGCTTCATTAAAGGCAGGAATAAGTTAATTTCCCAGGATCCAGTCTGTTTGTTCAGGAAAAATTGCATCCTTCCTTCTTAACTGTAGGAGACACATTCGTAAAACTGATGCACTTAGAGGAAGATACAGGTCAAAAATGTTCTGTCAGTTGGATGGTACGCTATATGTCACATATGCTGACCACCATATTGCTTATTAAAATTTCTTACAGAGTACCCACATACAACTCAAAATATCTGAAGTATACAGGGTAGCAAATTGCGACCTAAGATCTGAATGTTCACTAGTTAGGATTCTGAATTCAAGCCTGCATCAAGATCTGAAATATAATTCTTCGGCCTATGTTCTCTTAGATGTCAGAATATATTATTTTAATAGTTCCCTCTTGTCTGAATATATCCGCCTGAATTTCTTATCTCTAACTATGGGTTAAATCAAAATCCCACAGACCTTTCTCCTCCACACGTCCAGAACTCTGAATGCTTTATCATCTGGACATGAACTTTGCAGCCTTCCCTCTGTACGCTATAAATCAAATTTGACTTAACTAATCCAAAAAATAGAGCTAGCTGTTTATTAAAGGCTATTAAGAACTGGCTTTTCCAGCTTTTACTTCTTCCTCTGAGCTATACCAGGTTTTGTAATTCAGGAGCAACTACCCTGTCTATTCCTATTTTTTCTGAGGAAAGAAGATCTCTATTTGTTTTTTTAAGATCTCAAGGCAAAACGGAGTAAATCAATTAATTTCAGTAGTTTAAAGTTGTGAGAATACTTTTTAAAACCTAAAAGAGTCTTCAATGTTCAATTACACCTGAACAGTTCAGGTCTACCTGAATATAAGTCTTTGTATGCTTTTGAGGATGCTATCTGAAGGTTACGGAGTCCTATCATTAAGTGGCACTAATCCCCCCTCCCCTTCTTGACAGTCCAAACAGCAGAAAAAGATCAGTCAACCACAGCAAAGGACAAATAATTTAAAGCTGCTGAAACATTGTTACAATATCATATAGACGCTTGCATTAAACTTGTCCCAACTGTACCAGCTCTGGAGAGAAATTCAGGGCATCAGTAAAGCACTGAGCTCCTAAAGCAAAGCTAAACTTTGCTAATGTACTTGGTACATCCAGTTAACAAAAATGAGAACTATAAAGTGTTACAACAGTTCATACTAGCCATAGATACGATATGGAATTTAAAAATTCTTACAGAACCACAGCTGCTTCTGACAACTGGACTTGATCATTCCAATCTTACTGAAAACTAACTCCAGAGAAATAGTATCAGAAATGGACATGTGGTTTGAAAATGTATGCTTTTGACATTAAAAGACACAATGAGTGGGTAATTCGGCAGAGATGTTTGTGCTTCTAGACTTATTCAACAAAATTACCATCAGCATTTGTTTCTTTCTACACAGAATGATATGGGAGGACAACGAATGCTAGTGAATAAATGGAGTACTTTCCTCAAAACCAGGCTAGTCTGCTCTGTGCCAGGGAGAAATGGAATTGATACTCATTTTGATGAATTAGGTAAATATGCTAAACTGCAATAAATTTAAAATCATCATATAAAATATGAACTTTCATTATAATACATTTTACCTTCTAACATTGCAGTTGTATTCATCAACAGGAAGTAGTTGTCACTGTTTTGATTCCTAGGCATATGAAGTTTTATACACATTGAGTTGGCCGTTATCAATTATGCCTTCACTTATTATGTTGTTTTTAAAGACTACTTGTAATACCTACATGAAATTGAGTAGCATATATGAGTAAAATAAGATTACACTTTTAACAAACAATAAAATGTCTCTTTTGGGACTGAGAAAAGTAGTTTGCTATCAATAACATTGCATTTACATTTTACAGAGGATGTGTTTTTGCTACAAACTCGGGATAACAAAAACCCAGTGATATTCGGGCTCTTCAACACTACAAGGTAAACAACTAGAAGAAATAATAACAGCATTAGAGGAATGTTTGAACAGTCTATTGAGGAGAGAGAAGCTGCATGATAAATACTCAATAGTAAATATATAGCAAATAATTTAATCCCTGTTCTATTCACAGTATATTTCCTCTGTCATGTAAAAAATGCACTATGACATTCAGAAGCCTGAAATCTCACACAGTGATCCAGTCTACCTGTTCCTCAGAAAGACATAAATTAATCAAATGTTCCTCTGCTCGAAAACTTTCTTGTGCCCAAGTTTATGCATTTCTTCATGTTTATGAGAGCAGCCTCTCAGAGCCACCTGTGTTCCTTTCAGAGGGCCTCTGTGGTTCAAGCTTAAGTAGGCAGCAGCTTCGATTCCTTCTGCCTTCCTGGTGAAGCCTAAAATGTTAGTTGTGCTGTTGCTGGCGGTCTCCTTTTCCACAACAACCTAGTTCAAATCTTAGCGTGCAGTACTGCTTCTTGGTGATCTAAAGGTTAATTTAGGATGTAACTGGTAGAGGGCAGTGGCTGTGCTATTGCCACCATTTCGCTCTCCTGATTCACATTTTTAGAAAAAAGTAAAGAGGATCTGGTTTACTAGGGATGTAGGCACTAGCATTTGTTCTCTACGGTTCTCTATGCAAACCCGGTTCTCTGTGCAAACAATATGTAGAATTAATTAGAATACGCCCAATTAAAGTGATTTGGATCACTTCTGGAGTCCACAGAGGTAATTGCTTTGCAGAGAGCATTAATGCCTACTATAAAAAAAATTAATTGCTTCTTCAGAACTATGCCCCTAAAATTTAAAAGTAGCAAAGATATTTTCCTATAGGTTCATCTATTTACAATGATCTTCACAGTCTTATTAACAACCCTGACCAATATTCCCATCCAATGTGTGTGGAAAGACTCTTGTTTATTTGAGTCAATATTGCATTATTCCCACCTTTCCAAGTGACCTGTTTAGGTCACTAATCAAAAACATACAGACCTGAGTTCTGTTGCCTGTCTTTCTTTTGTGTCTGTAAACAAGTAATTTAGATTCTCTGTGTCTGCTTACCAACTTCCAATTTTGGGATAACAGCACCAAGCTTCCTCAGAGGAATGTTATAAATATGTTAAAGATTGTGTAAAGAACATCAGACACAGTGGTTATTAGAAAAACATACAGAAAACACGAAGAAATGTTTCTCCCTAAAAGCTGTTGAAGTGTGATGCAGTCTTAACTTCATAATAACACCAGTATTATATGCAATGAATGTGTGACATACTGTTTTAATAATGTTTTTGAATTTTACTTTATAGCAATATATTTAGAGGATATGCTATATGTGTCTACCATATGGCAAGTGTCCGAGCAGCTTTCAATGGACCATACGCTCATAAAGAAGGACCTGAATACCACTGGGCTCTATATGAAGGAAAAGTACCTTATCCTAGACCTGGTTCAGTAAGTGCAATCTATTTTCCACTGTTTTGTTAATGCAAGTGAACTCGGGAGGAAAAAGTAGACTGATATTAATGTACAAATCTTATTGATTTCACTATTTAGGACATATTTATTTGAAAATAAGCATATTCTAGTATTTCTGGAAATGTATGGAATGGCAATAAGTTTCATCAAGCATTGCAACAATAGATTTTCAAAAAGGAAATCATAGATGTTAAGTATAATGGGTTTTTCAAAATCCTATTGGTGCTTAGATTCAGCAACTTTGTGTTAAGATCCTATGGTGCCAAAGATAGGATCCCAGGCAATAAGTGGGGAGAGGCGTCTCTAGAAGATGGGTTAGATGCTGCATTCAGATATAGTAACTGGGCTCCTGTTCCTTCCTGGGAAGGAACATGACCTTCACACTCTATAGAGCCTGGAATAACTGTTCTTTTAATTTTGGGTGCCTTCATATTTATTGCATCGGAGCCTTTATGATTTTAACTAATTGCCATACAAATACATGAAAAATCAAATTGATTTAAGTGAACCAAAGTCACCTTTGGGTGAACCATGAATTATATTTTCCCACAGATTTTTCTGAAAAATTAATTATCCCTATTTATTTGGTTTAAGAAACGAAAATCAAGATGTGCTAAAAACTATATGTGTGTGTGTGTGTGTGTGTGTGTGTGTGTGTGTGTGTGTAAATAACTTTATTAGAGGAGAAAAAAAGAAGTTGACACAAAGCAATTCTTTCTATTGCCTGCCAAAACCAGAGCAGTTAATGAGAGAGAAAGTGTTAAAGGCAAAAAAAGATGCCTGAGCTTATTAACATTGCTATTCTTTGTCCTTTGCAAAGAATATACAGATATTGAAACTATTTGGAAAGAACAGAGGTGTGCAAACTCATGCTTTCCATAATTTTTACATGAATTTCTTTACAAATGTTTTTTTTTGCCCAGGTGGTAGTAAGCCCAGGTATCCTAAAAAAAAAAAAAAAAGAAATGACATTTTGAACATACAATTCAGCTGACATCTACTGTAGCATACTCTGCAATTATACAGGAGCTGTCATCAAGAGGGTTGTTCCTGCCTGGCATTTATATTTTTTAATGGGTAGATAGAATTTCTGGAGGAAATCACAGACATTACTTAGAGAAGTACTGAATTTCTGCAAGGAATTCCTACTATCTATGTTGATTTTTCACAGGTATCACACACAATCCTCATCTCAAGCTCTGTTACTATTTCACCCTCTTTTTAGGTGTTTCTGGAGTTTCTATCACTGTAGTATCTCAGCCAGGGATTCTCACTTACCAGGTCGGGGTGTGAGGAGAGCAATCTCACACGCCACTGCCTATCAGTGGTACTTGAGGGTGCACTTCGCATTGCAGGGACCTGTCTCACAGGTCAGGCACAGCCAAGGCCTCCCTCACCTTTTATTTCCTGCTGTAAGTCAGGAGGAATCCTGCCAAAAGGCATAGGCATTGCAGTAGACAATGCCAGTATAACCCAGAGAAAGATCAAATCAAGGATTTCTTCTTCTCCCCACACCTTTTCAGAATGGAACTACTTAGCTATTCACAGCAATCGTTATCTGTTGCATAGCTGTTTTATTTATACCCTCTGAAGGTCTACCCCTTACCATGTCTGTATTGTGCAGATTTTTGACTCTGTGAGATGGAAAGACGTTTCTAACAGCTGTTTGGCTTAAACCCACACACAGCTTTCACACTTCACCTCTTTATCTTCTAGCAGGCTAGGAGTTGGTTCTCTTGAGCTTAACAGTGGAATAAACAGTTACTGGAGCTTTATTTCTGATGTTGTTTTTCCTTTGCTAACTGAATCAATATTCTCTTTTATACCAAAAGCAATCATATGCATAAGTAAACATTGCATGCAATTCATTTATCACTGAATCACAGGAATGAGAGGTGAAAGGCCTATTAGCTTATCTATTCCATGCCAATACAGCTTTTCTCCCTGTAGTGTGATTTCAAATGTACATCCTCTCTCAATTTAAATTACTTTTTTCTTCTGCTTCTCTTGGGGTTAGAGTCACAAGTCAAAATGCAGAGGAGGATACTCCAAAAAAGAGATTAGCTGAGATTTTAACACTATAAATATGATTTAGCTGTCTTGACCAGTAAGCTACCACTACAATAATGCTGATATCAATAGTAAATATTTTTTCCTTTGTTTGATGTGGATCAAAGTAAATCATGGATATTGAGTCAGGATAGAAAAACAGATAAGTAAATTATCAATGTATGAGTAAAATAGGAGAATTCAAAGGAATTATTGGTTTCCTGTTAGACCACTGGTATAGAAAACTTATCAAATAAAAATGAGACAGCACTATGCATGGATTGCAGAACTACGGTATATTTCACAAAGATGATGATATGGTCCAGATTCTCTAAGTGGTATTCATTTTTTCTCTCAGGCAGTAGGTCTTACCTAGACAAGAGTTAAACATGAGCAGGAATTCAGGAATAATTACTATGTATTTCATCATGTATTTGATACCTACTAGCATTGAAAGATAAATGGTGTTCCTTAGGAAGAAGGACAGAATACCAAGCTAGAACTCCACCAAAGTTGACAAAAGGCTGCTTTAAGATTCACTTAGATTTGTGCTTTCCTCCCTTGACTTTGAATAGCCACATTTGGCTCATACTGTATTATAGCCTCCCTCATAGGCAAGGCATAGCAGCTGAAAAGGGTATAAAAGAAGAGAGTAATTAATTTTCCCAATAACATAGAACAAGTTAGCTGTGGAACCAGGTCTCTCCCCAGTGTTAATCAATTTAATCATTTTTGTCTCTGTATGTTGGAGAGCACATCAGAGGCTGAACTGTGTGGCTATGCCAGCCTAAGCAAACAGAAGTTTCATTCATATTTCGCTGCTCATTTAGGGCGCAGTTTAGAGGTCTTTTAGATGCTTTTCCAGTAGCATGAAGAGACAGTTTGTTTGGGGCTCTGGTCCACAGTGTTGGCTTTCACGCTCCAAAGAACAGGTCAGCATAGCGGCAAACTGAATCCCACTACCTTTCCCATTGTCAGTTAATTAGAAGAGTGACAGTGACAAAGAACGGAAAATAAGCTACTATTAGGCATCTCTTGAGAGTCAACATTCTTTGTTCTTAGCTACTGAATGGGGAAAGATGGAGTCTGTAAGGAATGAGAAAAGAGCTTAAAGCTAAATAAATTGAAAACCTCTGTTACAGTCACACTGGTTCTGACAGACTCTGCAGCCTGCCACTCTCTAAAGTCTGCTTGAAGTATTGCTTCCGTCATAATCTAGGTTCCTACTCTGCAGATTCATTTAGTGTATTTAGACAGTGATGCTTCTGAGAATGACATGAGTTACCTCAAAAATGGTGCTGATAGACTTAAGAGGCAGCTGCATCTACTGTTTCCTTTCTAGACAACTTGATTTATTTAATTAAAAATGAAAAGCCTGTGAACGATCATTTTTATTAAATCTCTCCAGGGCTAGAACTTTGCAAGGGAACTTGGCAATGCCTGTTCACTCAATATGCTGTGTGGTGCATGGAAAGCAGAGGTTTAGCCTGTCTTAATACTCAAACTCTGCCTCTTTATTGCAAACAGCCGGTGAAATTCCATCGCTAGGTTGATTAGACAATTACTTCAAAGTCAACACTGAACAAATACTTTCCTGTAGCTAAGCCCAAAAAGTGGAAACAAACATTGCCCCACTTGACAAGTGCAGGAGTTTGTTACTGTCAATTACACTTGACCACAAGTTTAAAATTACCGTTTCCAGTAAACATAAAGAGTATTTTATTTCTTTTTATTGATTGAAAATCCAATTTAAATAGGGAGAGCCTGCTACTGTGGCTTTGCTTGAAATGCTTCTTAAAACCACTCCGTCTTATGAATATTTGGAGAATGTAAATGGTTACACAGATATTTCCAGCTTGATCATAAATGGTTTCAATTAGACATCATGAGCAAATTGGAAACGTGGAATCAATGTTCAGTTAGGGAACACTATATCATGTCCTTTACAAAGCACCCTAAATTAACTTCCATGTCTAACACATTAAATTATCCCTAATTGCACATTTGACCAAAGGAGTAAACCTCTTTCAATCAATCAATTATTGACATAAAGTGTACTTACTTTGCAAATGGTAGGTTGATCAATGCAAACATCGGGATTTCAAGCTAAACTGTGATATATAATGCTGCCATCATGAGGTAGGAATTAGAATTAAATGTAATACTGTTAGAAGTCTTAAGATCAAGAATTACTCTTGCTATTGGCATCATTTTTAAGTGTGCTTAACTTCTTACGGTAATACATTTCACAGTCAAAACTAACTAAACTAGAGATTGATTCCAAGCATTACTATTCTGCTGACTTTACATGGCTGTCTCTACTGGGATAGGAAACCCCTTTTCCCTACCTGATTTATGGTAGACAAATGTCAATGGCCACATTCAATATGAATTTGGGGAATAAATAATCACTACTTTTTTTGTGAAAACTTAAATATATCAATATTTCAAAATTTCACCCCTAAAATGGCTTTACAAATAAAACTTTATTTTAAACAAAAGTATCTTTTTGCAAATGTGACCAGCAATGTTGTACAGACCTCATTGTCTCCCCAAGATATCAATAGACCTTGCATGTATAATTAGGAGTTCCTCCATAAAATGTTGTGTGCATTTTATTGCATTCCTTTATGACCACTTACATATCATGAGAGTGATAACAGTTCTCTGTGTGTAGACTCTGTGTGTTTGCATTCAAAGAGAGATATAACCAAAAAAGCGATCAAATGTAAGCTCTTAGTAAGTCAGACAGCAAGCAGCTGGCTCTTCCTAGCCATGAGAACACTAGGGCTTTGCTCAGCATTCCCTTTCTCTGCTTCTCATCATTAATAATTCATACATGCATAAAGCACGGGGACAAAGCACTATCCCAGTTCCTACTATGTTTTTTTGTGACTGTGTTTATGCTGGGCTTTGTGTGGAGCTGTCTTCACCCTGGATAGCAAGACTTGTTTCTGACAGTTTATTTGCCAAACCAGAGGGATAATCTGTGCTTACGTTTTTGCAGTGTGCCAGCAAAGTGAATGGTGGTCTGTACACTACCACCAAAGACTATCCTGACGAAGCTGTCCATTTTGCAAGGAGTCATCCACTGATGTATCAGCCCATCAAGCCTGTTCATAAGAGACCAATACTAGTTAAAACGGATGGAAAGTACAATCTTAAGCAAATAGCAGTGGACAGAGTGGAAGCTGAAGATGGGCAATATGATGTGTTGTTCATTGGTACAGGTAAACTAAACAAAGTTAAGAGGATAATTGATGCAATAGCTTTTTGATCTTCAGAATAAATGAAATTAAGTTGTGTACAGTCCAGAAATGATAAAGACAGCATTCCTTTTAAACAATCACTCTTCACATGACTATGGTAGTCGTCGTTGATAGACCACTAACTGCAACACTAATGACTAAGAGATTAGTCATTTCAGACATACCTTTCACTGTGATGATAGCATGCAAAAAAGGTTAAGGTATATATCTAAAGCTATACAGAGAAGTAATGGTAGAAAACTATTAGAAAAAAAAAAAAACACGGGGAAGACAGACAGACACGGGGAATTCCCCCCCCCCCTCCAAATAAGAAGCTTAAATTCAATTCCTGAACAAGTGACCTTATTTTTAAAACTTCAGAACAGAAGCAGATACTGAGCATAGTTCAGTTTTAAGCTGAGACCTAGACTGTAGGAGAAATAGAGGTAATATGATTTTCAAACATAACAGTGCATGCTACTGGCTTTAGTCTGAAGTTCACCTTCCCCAACTCTGGAGACCACAAGTCTAGCTGATACCGTTAAAAAGAAACTGCCAGCTTTCAGACCTGCATTATGACACGGCTCAAAGAAAGACGGAGGAAATTCCCAAGTTTATGGTTCAAAAAAAAAACTGTTAGAAGTTTTCTGCCAAGTTTTCTTGTCTTTCTTTTGCACTGTTTTCATAAAACTTTTTTAAAGAGTATTTTTTAAACACTTACCAAACAAATATGAATAAGGTCAATATATGACAGAGCTGCCCTTCCTTACCCTAAGCAGTCAGAGAAAAGTACGCATACTAAAGGTATGTGAAAAAAATAAGAAAACATAAGAAAATAGGAGGAAAGCCTGGAACATCTTGGTCACATCTAATCTGCCTGGAAAGTATCCGAGGATTCATACATTCACTTTTTATCAATTTAACAACAGGAAAGGTCAGAAATCGTTTGGACCATTTTGTCAAGGAACACTTTTACAGTGAATTATTTTTTACTAACTAAATTCCTCTGATAAGCGCATTTCAGTGTTGAGAACACTCAAAAGAAGCATGTTCGCAGAATAGCAAATGCTTATTTATATCAGTACTGTTTTATAAGCTTTTTAAATGTTGGAATCAATATGTAGTCCAAAAGATTATGCCATCACTTGTGTCACTTATGTCTCTACATAATCCCTACAGCAGATTTTATAATGATGACCAGATTTTTTATATTTTACACTTGCATTTATGACTGAGATGTTATATCAAATACTTTTATACAAGTCCTCTGTTGAGCAAAGTTGAAACCAATAGGATGGCTCATTACAGTTAAGTATGTGCTTTAGAGCTTTTTTGGACTGGCGTCTAACAGCTGCTTAGACTTCTTGAAATGTCTAATCTCAGCGGATAAGAAACTCCAACACAGGAATTTTGACTTTAGAAAATCTAAGACAAATCCTGCAATCTCTACTCTAGCAAAACTCCCATCAAAGAACTCAGGGGTTCCCTTGGCATTAGAATATTAGAAAGGGTTAATCTTCTTTCATCCGAGTCCAACACCTGCAGTGTAACATTAGCGTACAGGGTCTAACAGCATAGAAGTTTCTTTTAGGGTAGCTACGCAGGTTAGAAAGGTTTATCAAAGGAGAAGTCTGAATGTCAGGCCTAACAGTCCACATGTCTGTCAGCAGGATTTGAAGAGGGACTTATTTATGAAAATCTGAGCCCAGACTGCAATTTCTTTTAGCTGTCCTGTCACAAAATGGATGCCTTTGATTACATTTTCTTTTTGAGAAGTGGTGTGTGACCCCACTTTAATGGTTCTTCTTTATGTTTGCCCCTTTGATCTTTTGCTGAACTGTTTTTTCCTAGTGCTTGTCTGCTGAATATTTCCCCCATAAATCAAAGGTGACTGAAAATAATAGAAGAAAGGAAGTGATATTGGCCATTGTTGATGACAGATTTTCAGATTAAGGAAAGTAAGACTATTCTAATACTAGTCAGCAAGACAAAGCTGAAGTGGTGGAAGAACAGATGCTGTTCTTGCGTTTTAATTTCCTGTAACAGAGTTGTACTGACAGAGGGAGAGATAGATCTAAACTCCAGTGTCTCTTAAGCTTTTTGAAAGTGCATCTCTTCTTTAGTTCATCTTTCTTTATTTAACATCCTCAACTTAATAGCGTCTCAGTGCTTCCATAGTGGGGGAGTGAGAACCCCATGTAACGAGCCCCTGAAGGTGTTCGTACTCTTGCCTGAAGGAACGGAGCCGCTGCCAGCAATTAAGGATATTCAGCAGTTTCCTAACTAACATTAGATCAGATCTCAGATCCTATAATTAAAGCCATTTTACACTTCCCTGCCTTGATGGAACTGAGCTCCTGCCTACTCTAATTTCTTCTTCTAAAATACTGTCAGCCTCTGTGTTCTTTTTTGCAGCTCACCAAGGGGTTATGACCCAGAGTCTGAAAAATACTAGTCAATTAATCACAGAGCTCAGGGACATCTCAGCCATAATCCCGACTCTCTTACTAGCCAGAGAGTCTAGAGCATGTCACAGTGTCGCTGTGTTTTACAAGTTGTCACACGCGTATTTTCTAAGAGTAAGAACTGTCATCAGTAAACATAAGAGCAATAGGCAACTAATTATATGTATTTTATAAGTTTATAAATTTGAAGAAGTTATTTTGATATTTATTGAAGGCCTTTTAAAAGTTTCCACTAGTTATAACCATTAGCATTTTTTAATCTATTCCCAGATAACGGAGTTGTGCTGAAAGTCATTACAATTTACAATCAAGAGACAGAATCAATGGAAGAGGTCATTCTTGAAGAGCTGCAAGTATTCAAGGTGCACTGTGCTCTATATGAAGTACACGTACAACTGTCTTGAAATTCCTTCAGAATTAAAATGCCTAAAATTCTGAGGATGGATAAGCATATAGTAGCTGTGTATGACAAATTATCTAATGATCTAGTCATTTTACGGCAGGATATCTTCATTTTATACTGAAGTTTTTTCTGAAATGGGGTTACAGCCCAAGTACTAAAGCACATTGCAGCAAGGATAGGGCTCTGTTTAAATACATAGGGGTTGTAGTGCAACTTCTTATTAGAAACTGATTGCATTTTATTTCCTTTTCCCTCATATCCAATTAAGTATTTTAAAGGGTATAACTGCAGGCACAAAAATCTGCCTAGAATCTTGTAAGCTTAATGAAGGTCCAGCAAGAGAAAGCCCAAAGCCCCCAAAGAGTGAGAGGGTTAATTTGTGTTTACTCTGGGAAAATCTGGATCCTCTGAGGCAGAACACCATTCTATTAAAGAATTATCCATACCAAAACATCAGTATTTGGTGTGTGGCTCACGTGATATAATGAAATCCTCATAGTGAGTATTCACTGCACCTCATGTTAGCCATATGGAGTAGGAGGCTGAGCTACTTTACACGACAGGCAAGGCCTAATATCGAAACTTAGATATTTAAATTTGATATCTGAATTGAGGCGGTGTGACTACGGACTTGTCTGGGAGAAAATCACAGAAATTGCATTCTCTTGATAAACCTTGTTTTCAATAGGTCTGTTAAGGGCTGTGTCTTGCCTTTGTCCCAGGAAACCTGAGCAGAGGATAAAGAGGAAAATGCTAAGAGAAGGAATTCCTACTATTTTTATCTTATCTTCAGTGAATGTTCTGTTATAAAGAACACTCCACTTATCACTCTCAAGTAGCACAAAAAGTATTTAGTGGTGGCAAGAGCTGACGTTATGTTTGACAGGGAAATTGTAGTGTCCCTGTGGATTTGATAATCTTGAATTACAAGTGTTGGTTGGTTGATTTGAAATAAACTTTTTTAAAGCAATAGTTCTCAAAAACACAATTTCCTCCCATCTTTCTGTAGCATCAGAACTTAGAGAAAATTAAAGCATTTAGCAGAGCTGTGCATAATAATTAATAATCAACACTATTTCACCCAATTTATTGTCATAGCAAAAAGGCATTTGTTTTCTAAGCAAGGACACGTTTCTTATTTCCTAGGAGTCTGTTCCCATCATTTCTATGGAAATCTCTTCAAAAAGGGTAAGTATTTGATGAGTTTGAAATATGAAGATTGTCTAACTCAAATGTAACAAAGTTATAAACTGTATAGAGGTAGACGTACAGCATCCGAATAAGATCCAGTCTGATAATGTGTAATATTGTTGTAAGGTAAGCTTATAGATAATATGCTCTATTTCTTTGTAAAACAGTTATGTTTTTTTCAGGTTTAATGTTAAAACTGCTTAAATCTCCTTAGTTCACACTACTATTCATTTCAAAGCAAGAAAAAAGCAATATCTGATTCATGAGTTACTGGCGTAGTACTTACAGCAAGGATTAACTTGGTGGATATGGCAACTCCAGGAAGAATTCCTCGCTGATAAATGCAGACAGATTAACTTCAGGTTGATGGGGATATCAGTGCAAAGAGAACCTTTCTGGCACTGCCACATGTTCAATGTTCACTCCTCATGAAGGGCAGGGCTGTTTGGATTAGATCCACTGTTTCTGAGTTTCTGCTAGGCTAATAGAAATACCTAATTTATTACTCTTGTAGATAGATTCTCCTCATTACCTTGTCCCAGACACACATCCACTGTAACACAGGATGGTTATATCTTAATATAAACACCTGCTGTAATATAGGTGCACATAACGTAGCTAAATGCAAGCAATGAAGAACGAAAATTGCATTAACAGGAGGTGCAGGCATGCCCAAAAAGATCAATTTAGTCTTGGTAGTTTGTTGACTCGTATTCTTTCCACAGTTAAAGTAGAAAGACAAACTTATCTTATGGTGATTCAGAGGATGATCACAATTTTATGTTTTCTGAATTATTTCCTGAATGAATCTATTTTTTCTACACTGTGGAACACTGCTGCTACTAACTATACTAATTCAAGAAGGATCTGGAAATTCTGGAGAGGACTGTAAAAGAGCTACCAAGACAATCCATTGGCTGAGGAATAAACCTTCTTGTGGGAAGTAAAGGCAGCTTAACTTTTTCAAGATATCAAAGAGGAAATTGAAAGAGAACTGAATAGCCAGATATAAAATTTCAATTTAATCTTGAAATAGGATGCATTTCCTGAGGATAATTAAATGTTGGAATACTTCTTAGGGGCAGGGTAAAAAGAGTTGAGCTTGTTGGTCAGAGGAATTTAATCTTGAAATAGGATGCATTTTCCTCGCATAATTTCCTGAGGATAATTAAATGTTGGAATACTTCTTAGGGGCAGGGTCAGCACCAAGTTATTGTGTCTTTAAAATGAGATCTCTGAGTGGAAGTATGATCTAGTAGTTTATGTGAAAAAAAGTTAGGTAGCTTCTCTGCCCTTGCGTTTGTGCTAGACTTTTGACCTTGGAGTTTGTCTGTCTGTGGAGACCTCTTTCCTAGCTTTGTCTCAATATCCTTATAATGCTCTTCACTGTCAGCATCTCATAAATCAGACTGATCATCTTTCATTTGCTTTGAAAAGGACAAGTACGTGAAATCATAAAATTGAAACAGTCTTAAAATTGGTACAGAAAAAAATTAAATGATTTGATAAAAAAAATGAAATGACCAGTAAATTTGTACAGAAATACTGCACAGTACCAGAAAAAAAAGTTTGCCTACAATCTGTGCACTTAAGGATAACACAAATCATAATATTATTGTGCATGTATATATGTGCCTATATTGTAAGCAACCGCATCAACTGTTTTACCTGATAACTCCCATTTTAAGACTGAGGTTGCTTACAATTTTGGCAAATTCCAACTTTGATTAAAACATTTCATGTCATGTTACTTTCTCATATTGATTAGGTGGTAGACAAATGGAAAGACGGGAATACAGGAAACTACAAGGAGGAAAAAATACAAACCATAAAACCCTCACTATTCAAATGTAGAGCTTAAAATTGTGAAACTCAGAAGCTAGGACATGCCCAAATAAACGTGTTCATTTTACCTTCGTTTTGCTCGTTTGTTCTCATGCACTAGAGTTTAGCCTGTACTTAAACGCCTTCTTACAGAATAACTCTGCCTCCTTCAGGGCACAAGGTAGCTGCACAAGGGGCAAGCAGCTATAAATCTATCATTTTTTTAGAAAAAAATCAAGTGGTAACAGGAGTTTTAGTGGAAGCTCTAGGAGATTAACTGCATGTGTTATATTCTTTACAGCAACAGCTCTACATTGGATCTGAGTCGGTGATAGCACAAGTCAAGTTCCATCAGTGTGACATGTATGGCACAGCCTGTGCCGACTGCTGTCTTGCTCGAGATCCTTACTGTGCTTGGGATGGGATATCTTGTTCCCGATACTACCCTACAGGAATTCAGGCAAAGAGGTGAGAATTGCTTCTTCCTGTGAAATCATTTTTGCCTAATAGATACATAAAGAGCTCCTATTGCAACATATATTATTTCATATCTGCCTCACACACAAATAATTGACCACTGAAAAGATATGTTGGCTAATAATTTATTAGCCCAGCATTAGAGAACTGCAAGGGATCTGAATTAGCAGGATGACATACACTGAAGTACCGGGAATATTTTTATGAATGAAGCAAATTTGCTTCTTAGTCATTATCTATAGTACGTATTAAACAAATCTCAACTTCCTTATATATCTTCTGGTGGGGAGAGGAAAGATCGATATTTCATTCTTCATAAAGTCAGAAATACATTTTGGTGGTATTACATAGAAAATATATCACAGTGATATATTATATAAAACAGACTTTCAAAAAAGAAGAGAAGAATCTGGGTTAACAGTAAAATATTTACCCAGGACAGAGTGAAACTAGCATATTCACAAAAACTAATGTTAGCCTAAGGAGGCTCATTTCTGTAGGCTTTCTCTAGAGTCAATTTGTAAAGACAAGGCGCTCTAGAGGCCGGTTCAAAGCATGAACCTAGCTTGGGTGCTTTAAATGTTCCCTTTGGGAGACTTCTCCTCTCTATCTCATCACTTGCTTTTCTGCTGCCCTTCAGTCTTCTGTCTAGTATTTTCCCATGTATTTGCCCTCTTCTCTTCTCTCTCAAACCCAAGCCAGGTTCTCTAATTCAGCTACATACATAGCTGATGAAACATAGAAAATATGTATAGTTTAACCCAGACCTTTTCCTATGACTTTAAGACAGCCTTGCCGCTAGACAGTCATTTGTAGCCTTAGCCAGCAAAACTTTGGTTGTGCATAATTCAGGTCTTTTCTGTAGCTTTCTTTAATTTGCTCTTTCTGCAAACACATGCTTATATATTAAATGGAGTCACCTATAGTGACTGCAAGAATTAGATTTATCTGAGTAACTCTTCTTGTGTGGAGACACTTTTGAAAACCAGTGGAAATAGTTCATTCAAAAGCAAACCACATTATCCACGAATAGATCATTTTTTCTTAAGGAAAAATGGGAACTTTTTTTTTTTTTTTTTATCCTTACCTTTCCATGAACCTGGATGCTTGGTGAACACAAACAAATACACCACTGACTGCAGCCAGGCAAAACAAACATTTCTGTGCGTTTTCTAGAAGATAATGAACAGAGGAAGTATTGGGTGACACAACTTTTTGTATATGGGAACATTAAAAAGCCAAAACGAGGAAGACAGCCAATTACCCAGCATAACTGAGAACCTAGCTGAGTTATCACAATTGTGCCAGTTATAAATTAAGCCAAGTAGGAAATCCACACTACTTTTATGGGCATTTTTGTACTTCTTACATATCCTCATGCCTCTTGCAAGCAGACCAAGTGGAAGAAGTGGAATCTGTGGGCACATACAATGTGAAAAGCCAGGCTAAAATTGGGTCAGGGAGATTTGTTTCCTCTAGTATAAGTAGAAATTGGATTCTCAGAATTATAATGCACATGAATTACTCATCTAACCACGTAAATGCCTTTTTAGGGGGTAAAAAGGTTTCTACCAGCCTACTAGGACAGCAATCCCCATTTATGTTGTTCTCTAGGCTATTTATTGCCTAAGAAAAGATAAGAGAAACTCACTCGCTCCTTAACGCAGTTGCACATTTTTAGCATATTTCTCACTTAAGACAGATTCCAGAGTTGCAGCCCTTAAGTTTCCTGACATACGCATTTATCCAGGGTTGAGTGATACGAGCAGTACCCCAGGCACCTTCCTCTGTCTTACCTCAACAGCATTCAGCAGGTCAGTCGCTAAAAGAAGAAACGACTGCTGTTATCACCTTCCTTCTCTTAAGATAAGAGCTGCAGCAGTAGAGAAGGGATTTGCACTCTATTAATTGTTCTTGAAATCTGCAAAACTTGTTTTATATATAGGAGTCCAGGGGAACAACTGCAGACCTAATAATGTTGGGAGGGATGTGTAGTTTTTGCTTTGTTCACTTTAGGTGTAGTTAACGTGTAGTTCAGAGCATTTTAAATTTAGGACCTGACGTTCCTTGTGCAGTAAAGGAGGAGAGGGAGGGAGCACCACTCAGGAACCATGTATGGAAGTGTACGTTACCTCCCGCTGGGTTCAAGGAGTGCCCTGCTAGAAAAGGCAGGTCTCAGTAGACAACATGGAGTTTTCTGATACCAAAGCACCTTGAGCAGGAGATAACCCCGGCATGGCTGCCCTGTGCTCCAGACACAATTAACTCTACATCCCAGAGCATATGAGTCTTGATTTGACTTGGCCTTGTCTCTGGGTCCAGCCTTCTGGGTAAGCTGTACCAGGCAGTAATGTAAGTACAAGAGCTATTGGAGAGCCCTTATTCCCCCCTGTTCCTCACAGCCCACCCTTCATCCGTACTCATGTAGCAGCAGTTCCTAACATTGCAGGACACTTGATTTGGCTTTAACTAGCTCTATTAGGTCAAACGTGGCCCTCATACAATACATTTAGGTGGGATTTGAACTGTAAAAGCAGCCCCGCTAGCGCAGTGAGAGTACTGTTAAGAGCTCTTTTTTGTGCTTTTAAGAGAAGTCCTACTAGTGAAAAATTGGACACAATGTAACCCCTCCTGCCTTTGATTCAGTGCTACCTTCTCTAGATCCTAATGCCTGCAAGGTATGACAAGTGTTTTGAGAAACATGAAATAGAAAAACTGCAGACTAAGGCACATGCAGGATTTAGACAGATGGACTGCAGCATAAATTCAAAAAAAGATTCTGCTTGACAGCAGGGTACTGATATATATATAATTTTGAAAGTTTATAATTTAAATCCTTGCAAATGCATAGCCTGGATAATTAATCACCTGTAGGATATAATTAAGGACCAACAAAAACACAGTCAGGAATCCCATATCCTGATGCTGGCAGGGCAACATGCTATATTGTCATGGTAGTTACAGGTGGACTCCTGCGCACTGCAAATAGTTAAGGTGCCAGAAGGGAATTACAGTGCACCAACTGCCATGAAGTATACTTGAGAAAGCAGAGAGTCTCGGGGTCTAATGCAATGCTTTAAATCACTATTGCATTGGTAATCTGAGTTAGTCAGGTTCGATTTTTTTATCTGAAGCAGCACTAAATTCTACAAATGACATTCTTTGCTGTGCCAACTCACAGTCCACGGTACAAAAAGGCTAAGGTATTTTAAAATGCTTTTCGAATTAGGTAGATCTGGTAAGCTGCTATTACTTAGCTAACTGGAACCTGACAGTCCCCCTGCTGCCTTCTCTCCCACGCCGGCCTCTTTCGACACCACCCACTCTGCTATAAAACACGCAACTGTGCGCTTCCTTCGCCGTAGTTAGTAACGGGATGTACGTAAGGAGTTCTGAACAGATTTTTTTTCCCTCAAGGCTCTTTCTCCGCACCCCCCCTGCCCCCACCCCAAGCCTTCCTGGCCCTCCCTATCGTCCTCGCTGACCAGGTGCGCGTCTCGTGTGAAGAGAATAAAACCTTCGCTATTTTTCCTGCTGCTTAGGGTCATGGTCCTGGTCGCAGCCCCCATATTACTGCTGAACAGCATTTCGCAGTACTACGTACTTAATTCAGATGGTATGCAAAAGAGTATTTTAAGCCCTTGCTTAACTTTAAGCTTCTCCTTAAATTTTATTAAAGTCTTAAATTAGATGCTTGTAGTTAAATTAAATGCTTTGCCAGCTCACATGTCAGTCTGTTGTAATATTTGGTTCAGCAATCTAACACGCAATCTGCTAATTTACTTGTTTTACTTGTGCAAACTGCAATGAAGTGGTTTTTTTTTTTTTTCCCCTCCCTGAATCATTTCAGTTTTGTGTTCCTTGAAAATATAGGGTTATGGACTGAAATCTAAACTCATGAAGTTAAAGATTACAAAACATATTTCCATACATCCAGCACATTTGATGGCCACTGAAAATTATTCCTTACAGTGCTGTATCTCATATATTTGGCATATCTCATGTATTATCTGGTGGTTTATCATTCATGGAATTCTGAATGAAGTGATTTACTAAGAAAAAAATAGCAAATAATAGGCTTATGTCAATGTTTGTGAAATATATGCATCTCCCAGCATCTCCCTCTTTTCCAGCTCCTCACATCCATTTTTCCTACTGTTTAAAAAGGTAGGACGTGGTGGCACATGCAAATGTTTTTTCCCCAGTCTTAACACTTAAAGTAGTAAAATTTCACCAAACAGTTCTTCCTCTTGAATGTTACTGACAAATGGAGAAATATCTTATCTTACAGGAGTAAGACTTTTTTTTTTCCCCCCACATTTATAGTGATCTTCAGGAATTGAATAGTAAATAGTACATGCCTGCTAACTATCCTTTTCCTGACAGACGGGACTGCTGGGACGGACAACAGTGGGGTTTCCTTGTTTGTTTTTTCAAGGCTAATGTCTATTTATGTATATTTGTGCACAAGAATGTCTCTCCTGCATAATCTGTATACACAGTTCTGCAGAGCTGTGGCAGCTTTATCCAATACTAAGACTTTACAGATTTTTCAGTAAGCACAGCTGCCACACACATGCATTAAAGTGAGAACTCCCAGGGCATGATAAAATCCTGTTACTATCTCAGAATCTCAGCTCTTACTTAGCAACATGCATGTATTTTTAGCCCTTCTGCCCCTTCATAGTCCCAACTGAATTTGCAGATTCCCCTGAAACAACAATGGCAAAACATTGGCTCTGCCACTCTGAATATCAGTAAAGGTTAAAGCTGTTCCATTGGTTCACCACTACCACTAGAACAAAAATCTATCCATATGACAGAACTCAGAAAATAATCACTACCTATAATCTAATATAATAACCTAATAATCTGCCTCTTGTGTCCGTATAGACCCAGGTGAAGCTAAATATTAAGTAAGTAGTAAACACAAGGAAGATTAAAAAAACTGATTGGCTTTGCCTATTTCTATCATGTGGTTTATACTAGGCATATTAATACCTGTGCTTTATAAGATTTTCTGCACTGTGTACTGTCGTTAATCAGTCATGTTTCCTGGCATTGGTAATACTTTGTAGAATTGCTCTTTATGCAAACACAGGAAAGGTATCCTTAGTATAACTCTAGATTTCAGATTGTTGGAAATATTACATCTGGCAAGATAGGGAGTTGAGCATCCTAATAGGTTCTTTCTTTTCCATTGTAATCAGTCTTAATTTTATTTATCAGGATGGACAAAATTGTCATAGAAAAGCATAAATCTTCTGGGAATTTGCTGTACAATTATGGTTTTCATATAAAATCCCAAACCCTAAAACCCACAACAAATTTTCCCTCAAAGGCAAGCTAAAGATCCCTTTGACTTTTCCTAGTATTGAATGTTACCCAGTCGTTTCAAAGGATCTGGGTTAGTATTTATAGGTTCAATATACTCATACACTGGCCACACAGTTGTGTCTCTTTCTCAGACAAGTCTGTTTCTTTTTTCCAGGAATGCAATTGCTAACAGGTTAAGACATAACTGCTTATTTCTCACAATAACGCTAAAGTCTTAGGAATTAGGATTTAGCACCTTGTGTTTTTAATGAATGCAAGCAACTTCAGCGTAAACCCAACAATCTGTAAGCTAAGCGTGTTTTCTCAAGCAATTTCATTTTTTTTCCCTCCAGACGTTTCCGCAGACAAGATGTTCGACATGGAAATGCAGCGCAGCAGTGCTTTGGCCAGCAGTTCATTGGTAATTTGCTCACAAGTTTACAAATTGCTAGCAAATGCCTGGAGCGGAGAACACAGATTTTGCCAACAGTTTGTGCTGGACCATATCACCTGAGATTTTTTTACTGGCATGCTCCTACATAGCACTAAACTATAGGACCCTATGTCGTCCAGGTCTAAGCAATGACTGTTTAGAGTACAGGTCAGCTCTGTCCTGCAGTATGCGGGCAGTCCTTCTTCCCTGTGGTTCAGACTAGGGATGTGGCTAAGGCATTTCATGGCTCCCTTCTGAGGCTGTGCAAGGGCTTCCAAAGGAAATGCAAACATCAAGAGGGGGCAGGGATAGAAAGCAGCAGGGAGACATCCTGAAATGAATCTGAAATACTGCCAAGGCCAGCGATGGGAACTGAAGAAGCTCCTTAGTGCAGATGTGGCGAGTGAGCTGTCAGAACACAAATGTGTATTTAGGATCATTCTCGATATCGCTCCTAAAAAAAAAGATTACTGTGTCTCTTGATGTTGTCCAAATCTTGAAAAGTGTCAATTTCAAATACGGGTATAGGGAATGGGAAAACAGATAGAAAACGGTTGCCAGGACGTCCTCAGTATTTTGCAGGATAACATCCGATACATTTAAAGAGGAAAAAGTCAAATGTAAAAGGTTCTTTGTGATAGATATTTTTTCCAGAGGAAGCTTTGTTGAAATTGTAGTCTCTTAGGGGATAAAGTAGATTATGGAAGAGTATATTCCAACGTGAAATATTTATTAGATAGTAAATTTCAAATGTAAGACAGAAATCACAATGATCTCAAACCCTGTGTTTTTGAGGTGTAAAGTTGCTTGATCTCAAGAACAATTCTCTCCTACTACTTTGGAATAAGATGATTTAATTAATGAGGCAATTGGTCTCCTTCAGTTTAGCACAGTCTAACTTGTCTTCCTCCAGATGTTTTTTGGATAGAAAAGCAGAATGGAATCTCGATTAATTGTGTTCATCTTGTTTTTATTGACATCCTTGGTCCAAAATTATACATTCTTTTACATCTTTAATGAAGCTCTATCTGCATATGTGTACATCATGGACATGCATAATATAAAATAGGATATTTATAGTTTTTAAGAGTTTTATTCTGCAGCAGGACAAATATTCACATTTTTATTCAGAAAAATGTATATTTTGTGATTGCTTTTAAGCATGTATTGAATCCTTCTCTTTAACTGACTGAAAATCAAGGCGTATGATTCATAAGAACCAGGCACAAGCAATTAACATAGCGAAGAGTTGAGATGTATTTCTCTCTGTATAATCTTAGCTGAATCATGGTAAAATTTAGCCAATTTATCTTATGGCTAAGTCCTGTGAGATGCTGAAATGATGCCTGCTCCTTTCCTGTCCAGTGGGAATATTCATTTACCAAGCACTAACTTTCAGTCACAGTCTGACTAGCTGTCGGACTTTTAAGAATAAAAGTCCACAATAAATACACCCTAAATACAGAAGGTGATATGTATTGTCAGTAACATAATTGGCAGGTATGCTTTTAAAACTTTTTTCCTTCCAGGTGAAGTCCTGGAGAAGACCGAAGAGCGATTAGTTTATGGAATAGAATACAACAGCACTCTTCTGGAATGCACCCCAAGAACTTTACAAGCAAAAGTAATCTGGTTTGTCCAACGAGCACATGAAACTAAAAAGGAAGAGGTAACTAGTGTTATACCCTAACACTTTAATAAAAAGAGCCTGTGATTAGGAATATTACATCTTCACTGAAAGACCTGTTATCAGTTGCTGAGATGCGCACAGGTATAAGGTAGAATCATTGTGTCCATCTGCTGTACTGAACTAATAGATCCGAGAATTTCATCTGGTGTTTGAGCTCCGTTCCTTGAAATTTAATAAATAAACAGATTTTAGAAATGTATCTGAACTTAAGATCTCAAATCAAAAAAGAATCCAGCACCAACGTTGGTGTGTTATTCTAGAGGTGAAAAGTGTACATATTGCTCCCAATGTCATTCTAGCTTATCATCTATTGATTCTCGCTGCCTTACCTGTTAACATTGCAGAGCCCTCAGAAAAAAGAGGTCTGTGTGTATGTATATATATGTTTCTACATTGATTTCTCTGCCTATTTTACATACATTGCCCTATTATGAAAGTGCTTCATCAGTTTAACCATATTTGTTTCCCAAGAATTATCGGGTGCACATCTGTTTAGCTATCTCTTAATATATCAGAGCACAAAGGGAGAACAGCCTCCGACCACCAAAGTGCACGGCTGTCTTATTGCGTCGCGGTTAGGCTCTACTGACAGCATCAAGGCTCAGCTGCAGACATCTAGAGTGGTACTAATCTGACAGTAAATGTGGACATTTACGGTGAAGAGGTCTATGCGGGGGTTAGTCACTGTAGGCTGTCTTTGAAGTCAGAGCAATTGGCATTGCAGATATAGCCGGGGGTATCATCTCATTCTAAGCTAGACAAATTAATTTAGCCAGATAAAAAATGAATAGGCAAACCACTGAATAAAAAGGTAACCAAGAATGCCACACTCAGCTACAGATATCTAAAATTAAGCAAACGGAAGAACATTCTCAATGTCCATAAAGCACATTTTTGTTAGAAGGTTTGTCCAAGTCCTAACATGAAACCCTGAACTTTTCCAAAGTTCTGGATTCCCTCCAAACTCCAGGAGGATTTTCATATTTGGTATTTCCTCATTTATTTACCTGGAAGATTGCAATTAATTATTCATAATAATTTTTAAAGTATTAATCGAGCCTTGCACAAAAAGCATTGAACTGTGTGAATTTTTCTAGAGGAGGAAAAACTGTCCTTTTATATGCATGTCCTGCTAGACCTAGTAGCTCAGATATGTGGCACCAGGACAGGGAATGCACACCACAGACTCTCACCTTCCAGTATGCTTTATACTGCTGGGGTTATTTACTTTTAATGTTTTCTCCTGGAAGTTATTCTATTTTGCATGCATAATTATATGGTCATTAGCATGAAGACTACCCCAAGCAAAGAGAAGTTCTTCTCTTTGGCCTAATATTCAGCCTCTTACTGTTAAAAGAAATACTAGGATTTCATTCTTCTTAGCAGTGCTACTGGCTAATTTAGATAGCCTCATGCTCCTTGCTTGCTAGCTCCTGTGAATTCCCAGTTTTAATAATCTAGCTCTAAGGAACAGAAAGGGGAACCTGACCCCCAAACCGAGAACCGAGGATCAAGATTATAATCATCTTAAAAATATCTGTGGATGTCAATTCAACACTTGCCAATATATAAGAACATTCAGAGGGACAGTTCCAGCAGTTCAGCTGGCAAATGTACATTTTTGTTTTCATACAGTACTCTTCTTGCATGTTTCAGTCTTAATGCCCTCTGTAACTTAGTCATGAGTGACTAATCCATCCTGGGAAAACAGGAAGCTACCTGCTTCAAGATTTGCTATACTTTCCTGGGCCATTAGATTGCTTTCCTTTCACAGCTTAACCTCTTTTGTACTTCACATAAATATTTTAATTACTTAAAAGACTTGGAATTCAAGGATCTTAGATTTCCTTAATCTTCCCCTTCAAATTTAACGTTATATTACTGGAGGTACATTTCAGAAATAATTGTACTGATTTAATCTAACAATAAAGTCTGCTATTTGCACTATATCTGCATCAATTATTTTTCAGGTGAAGACAGATGATAGAATAATCAAAATGGACCTTGGCCTCTTATTCCTGAAGCTGCATAGGCTGGATGCAGGGACCTATTATTGTCAGACAGTGGAACACAGCATTGTTCACACTGTCAGGAAAATCACCCTGGAAATAGTCGAGGAAGAACGTGTAGATGAAATGTTCAATAAAGACTACGAGGAAGAGATACCTCACAGAATGCCATGCCCAATTCAGAGCAGCATACCTCAGGCATCAAAACCATGGTACAAGGAATTTCTTCAACTAATTGGTTACAGCAACTTCCAGAGGGTTGAAGAATATTGTGAAAAAGTGTGGTGTACAGATAAGAAGAGAAAAAAGCTGAAAATGTCTCCATCCAAGTGGAAATATGCCAACCCGCAAGAGAAGAAGGCAAGGCTCAGGCCAGAGCATTACCGGTTGCCCAGGAACATAGCTGACTCTTGATGGACAAAATCCACCTGTTGTTACTGGGAGAATTTTTATTTGGACTTAAGAAAGAGGGAGAAATCAGTCTTGGTTTTGGTAAATGAAACAGGTTTATATATATAAAATATTGAGACTAAAAACAAAAATGTTATGATAAGTTATACTGTACACTCATGATGACTGTTTAGAAGCATTTTAAACAAAATCTGCTTAACTATCTGATTCTAAATAGGTCAATGCAATCAGAGTTTCACAGTAAGGACGTGACAATCTTCAGACTTTGAGTGCTTTCATCAGTCTTCTATGTGGACCATGCTTACGCTGTATATTGTTGCATCTGATGGCATATTTAAGCACATTGAAATAGCTAAACTTTCACAAGCAGATGAAAAATGTAATGTATATCTTTTCTTGTTTTCACAAAATTCTCATGCTTCTGAAAGCAGCACGTCCTAATATCTTTCCTTTTGATCACGACCTGTCTGAATTTATCACTGAGAATAATGAGATGTGTTAATATGGTGTACTGCTATTTCTAAAGATAATGAAGGGAAATCCTATTTACTTCCCACCATTATTTGTCTTATCAGTCATTTATGAAGCGCAGTGTACTGTCATGGCTAAATAATATTGCCTAATAACTTGATGTAAGTCAAATGCATGCTGACAACATAAACAGAATGAAATTCGTCAACATATCTGTATAAAAAGTTGGAATAGTGGTTTAGGTAGAAAACAAGTCATGGCTATTGTAATGAACATTGCCTTGGTAATGACATGATTTAAGCTAGTGCCCTCTTCTGGCAAAACAAAACATTTCTAACATTGTCATATATTTTCTCAAGAAATGTGCAGAGTTAAGTATTACCCAGAGCCACAGCTGGTTTGTTTTCAGCATACTTCTAGTCCCCATGCGCTAAATCCACAGTTTTATTAGGTAGTGTTTGAAGTCACTTATGTTGGAAAGACAGCATTTAAAGTAATGCTTTATGTCATTAATGTGCTTTTGGGGTAAAATGCAGTCATAAAAGGTTAGGATGTAGATTAAAAAAAGGAAGGGCATTATGCCTAAAATGCAGCTGTGTTTCTACAGTTTTATGGTCTGATCCAGGTAAATCTTTTCCTGATATGTGACCTCTGGTCAAAAGAGTTGTTTTGCTGCTCTTGTGAGCGATGCCAGGAGAGGAGATCAAAGAATTATGAGTCACTTCATATCTAAGATTTCCAAGACATTAAAAAAAAAAACAAAACTTTGTTTAAGTACAAGAAACCGGATGCAGAAAATGCAGACAAACCAGCTTTTTACTAGCAAAGCTACCTGAGAAATCTGTTATTATAATATGCATTGGAAAAAAAAAAGATAGGGAAGTTAAAAACATGAGTTACCTACTCAAAAAATAATGTGCTGTCAGTAGGTTAAATAGTCTAGCTTATACAGATTTTGATTTACTAACTGTATATTCAGGGGATTCACCAACCACGGAGAGAGGTTCACGTCCAGCTTCAGTGTCTTACTGGGAATAGAATTCGGAATTAGTGGGAGTTAACATCCTGGAGAATATAGAGGATGCTGACCCAATGTTTTCAATACATGCATGCTATATGTGAGAAGATCTGATCGAGTTTCTGAGAGAACGTAGCCGCTTTCAGGATCAACGAGCTTTGCTGCCTTTCCCGAAAACAGAAAATATCGCAGTGTTCAAAAGGAGTCCTTGTGCATGCTGTTAGCAAACAGCACGGAGGGGAAGACAGAGTTCATCTTGTGTCATTAGATCTGCAGATAAACTTTTCAGGAATCTAGTTATGTCAAGGAAACTACATTTATCTGAGGGTTTGTGCTAGTTTTAACTGGAATGCCTTTCTGGGAGATGGGAATGGACACTGTGAATAGCTTTGCAGGAATCCATGCGGTTGGTAACCTCTGCCTGATACAGAAGACTGGATAAATTCAGTTTTCAATGACAGTTTAAAGGAACTTAATTGCAGTTAGGATCCTATCTTTGTTTATAGTTACAAGGAGAGTGCTAGCACTGAAAGCTGTGGCGCAGAGAAGAACCTACACAGGACAAGCATCCCCAATTTTACTTAATCCTCTCTATAATATCTCACTGGCATCCCTGATGGAAAACTGTTAAAACATCACTGAAATCCTCTTCTGAGGAATTATAAAGTCCACTTCTTTTCAGTAATAATAGGAGTTACATCTTAATTTTTCTGATTCACTCACTAGTATGCAATGCCAAATGTGCCATTGCTGGAATATTAGAAAGGAAAAACAGACCCTCACTGTAAAGAAACAAATATAACTTTGTGTCTCATTCTCTGAGATTGCAGGAGGAAATCATGTGAAATGCAAATCAGGATTCCTGATTTAATATGAGATTGCATATTTTTAGCTCCCTATCCCTTTAGTGGTTACGTGTGGAGAATTGCATTAAGTTTTTATTTACATTTAAAAATTTAAATTTTTACTTTACACCTTGCAACCTTCATCATGGCAACGATTGTAAGAACTCACAACTACAAAGTCTTGTTTAAAAAAATGCTGTGACAATTACGGAAGAAGAGAAAGTGACAATAAGGTACTTTGGAAGGATACACACAAATATGCTGTACACAGACAATGTTATTTAAAATGCTTCTTTGTATATAGGGGGGGCATTGTCTGCTTCTTTTCATTATGAGTTTGATGTATTTTGTATGTGCATGAAGTGGTCAAATTATAAATGTAATTAAGAACCATATTTGGCTGACACAACCTGTATTATTTCTCATTATTTATTTTGACCAGAACAACATGATGATGTGCAGATCACTAGTTACACACAGTTATCTACAGATGCCCTTCACTGTGCTTTTTATGAGCAGATTCAGATCAGGATAGAAGGATGTTAGTGCACTGTTGCCAACTGAAAAACTGGGACACAGGGTAATTAGTAGATTTAGCCTGGTAACATTAGATACGTTTTGGAAAAGCTATGATTAGAAAAACATCTATTGGAAGAATGTATTTTAGAGTGGAACACGGTTACTTCAGACTAGGAGATCCAACTGATTCATTGAGAAACAATAGTTTAGATGAAGTTTTGAACTCTGGCCTGAGGCCTGATGCGGGACAAGCCGTTTCAAATCATTTCGACTAACTGCTTTCTCTCAGTGTATCCCTGTTTTTTTTCCTTTGTTCTTGCCATTTGTTGTAAATTAGATTATTGTCACTTCTTACAAAGTACTGTGGTCTCAGACTCTGTTGGGACACCTAGCAAAGAGAGTGCTAGCCCGATGTGAAATTCCTGGCTTGTATATCTCAAAATAGTCTTTCAGAGTCTATATGACTTTTCTGTAGCATATATAGGTCTTTTTATGTAGAACAGATTTATGAAAGAGAGAAAAATAATTGTCTACATTCATTTGCCTGAGCAACAAAGTTAACAGTCACAATTTGAAGAAGTGCTTGGATTAATTTCTAACAAGTGATATAGTTACGGAGCTTCTCTTGTTATTAAAAAAAAAAAAAGAAAATGAAAAAATTTTCAATTTTCTTTCCCTGAAAAGCAGCCAACCAGTTTCCATTTTAAAAAGTCCATTAATCTCCTTAGTCTACCTTGGAGCAGTGAACCTGGAGTTATTTATGCTACTTCATGTCTCTGGGTCCAGAAGGTACAAATCCCTTTGAAAGCTGCACTGTCCAGATAAGAAGCCCTGAAACTGAGCTTTTTTACACTTGTAACCTAGCAGGATGCCTGCAAGTCCTATCAGCCCTGGAATCCTGTTCAGTTCAGAAAATTAGTGTTTTTAAAGCACTAGAAGGCGTATTCACTTTTAGTTAGCATAAGTATTTACGGTAAATGAAGCCATGATTAACAAGTCTTGTCTTTGGGTGATATTTACCTTCTCCACTAGTAATTATATTTTTATTTTATTTTTTTAGGAAATAATCTACCTGGCTAGCACCGTAAACTGAAAAATGGCACAGCTAGTCAAATAGCTACTTTAATACTGAGTTAACCATCATTTTACAGTGATACTAATATTTGACTTGCAATCAGAGATTTCTGAACAACCTGCCACATCAATCAAATTCATTGCTGTAATCGCATTTGTCACATTAGCTTTGCCCGTTTCAGATGATGCACTTTATAAACCTTGGAATGAGATACAACTCTTATGTAAGGTCGAACAGGGAAATATATTGTTAAGCTTTTGCTCACAGGTGCTCATAATTTGCTGTGGGGCTATGTAAAAGTGCAGGACCTAGCTGACTTGAATGCAGTTGGAGCACTGAAGCTGTACTGATTCTTAGATTTACTGAGATTCTTACTCATATCTAGACAGAGCACACTTACTTGCAGGAGGAGAAGCCTGGATCCTTTACGGTTTTGGTGAGTCAAAGATCCTGTTTCAATACATCCATTGGCTAAAGAGCCATTTTGAATAACCTGTTTCAGTAGACTTTCCCATTTGCGACGCCTGGCAAACTTCTGTGAAATAAAACGTTCCTTTACTTACAATGTTGGTTAATTTAAGTGCAGAATTTCATGCTTTTGAGAGTGTTTTGCACATCTTTTAGAAACTGCATTTGAAGAAGTTCAGTCTAGAATTACATTTAATGTGGGTGCATTTGTATATAAACTAAGATCTCTTAAAATAACTCCAGTCAGTTTTGAGAGCTGATTGAAATTCAGCATACCCAACAGAAAGAATCACACATGTACTCTGTGATTTTGTTTTCTCTAACTCTGAAGAGCCACAATCTCCCAGTGCTGCTGCCATGAATTTCAGGCATGTGCATGAAGACATAATAATAATAATAGTAATAATAATAACAGCAGCAACAGCTGAAACTCACTGTCTTCTCCTCTTTCCAATAATAAGAGATGAAATCTACAGACTAATGCGAATGACTAATGAATGCGAATGACTAGGAATGTTTTCTTCATTTTAATTTGTTAGATGTATTAAAAGCTGCTATTAATAATCAGAATTTGAATAATGCACACTGTGGACCTTGTCAAAATCAGGTAATGGAAAGCTTTCAACTGCAGGCTTAACGTGAGCGTACTTATTACTAGTATTTAATTTACTGGATTTTCCTCTGCTTATATGGGATACCTACTACATTATAATTTTGCAGTCATTGAAACTAATGAATATTTGACAGTGCTTTATGTGTTCAAAGAATTGTTTAGGTATTGGGTAATCAAGATGCACAACAGCCAGGAGGGATGAAAATACATTTTAGCATCCCTCACTCTGTTTTTCACAGGAGCAGAAAAAGCCCATGGCCATGCAAGGTTCCCCCATAATGCTATGGTTCCCCCATAATGCCGCACACTGCGGAGATGTTCACAGTTGTTCCAGCTGGGTGGGCAAGTTCAAACAAAATGGTGTGATGCCATGCACCAGCCCGAGCTTGTGCTCCAAAAGCACTGTGCCCTGGTAGCTGTGATTGTGCTATTCAATATTCTTTTCAGTTTCAATTTATTGTAATACATGGTATTCACTTCCTGTTCAGTCATGTCTGTTTTAGGAGGAAGCTTCTGGAAAAGGGACAAAGTAGAAAATCAGGGAGTAGTAAATCCACCAAAGGATATAAAGTCTGTTTATGGTGATGTACTTTCATGATACTGTTAGACTGAATCCAGGGTACAGTCTACATTAATATCCTGGCTTTCTAGCACAAGAGCCTGTGGACTGTTCAGGCTTGGCTCCCCTCCTTCCCTAACTTTTGGAGAAGAATAGATTTTTAGTTTGAAATTCATTCATTCCTTCTTAGATGTGCTCATTAGGATGAGATGGATTGTCAGATTAACCCCACTGTAAGAACCATAATGTTTTAAGGTCATCAGAAAAATCATTTCAAGCTATTTTTTCTGTGTATCTAAATAATTTTCAGAGTCTAAATATCTGATGCTTGACTGTTCCCCTTTATGTTGCTGGCTGTGAAGTTAATACCTGACCTCAAACTACAAGTCTCAAAGTTTTGAAACTTCTGATAACCAGATAGCAAGAGAGCTCATCGGATCGCTAGCTTAACAGCCGTGAACAGATGGCAAGTGGTCTATCCTAGGGAGAAGAAACGGTGAAGTTGTAGGGGTAGCCTTTCTAGGGCTTCCTTGGTCCTTCCTGGCAGGTCAGCATGGTGGCCCGCTCTGTCGGATCAGTGAGAGCTAAAGCACCCCCCTTCTTCCTCCATAACTGTCAATGGGGCTGAAACTACCAAGATGATTGCCCCAATAAAGATGGCTCTAACCGTCTGCAATGCATTTGAAAGCAGCCCTGCACTGATGCACAGGGTTAGACAACACACAAATTGTGAATAGTCTTCAGGGACGTTGCAGAAGGTCCATGACAAGAGTAAAGGGGGCAGGACTGGACAATGTGTTGGTGGGAGGAGGCTGGGTGTGGAACGACCAGTGGGGAAGGGGATGGAAGATGTGGGAAATAAGAGCAAGCTCAAGACAAACAAGACAGCTGCCTGGTGGAAAAAATAGGAGTGATGGCTGCCATTTTGCTTTGGGGAGAGGAGGGAAGGACATTTCATCTCTTCTTCAGTTTCATTTAACTTTTGAAGCATGTTATTTATGCAGCATTTGCCACTTACAATAACTTCTTCACTGCATTTGTTACTCTACCACGAGAGAGAAGCAGGGAGGAAAAAAAGAGACTTCTTAGTAACTTCTGTAGTTTGCATTTTCTCTCTTGGAAGCCTGGCTTAGTAGAATTAAAACTGAGCAAATGGCACCATTTGGCCAGCAGATGCCTTATGCACCAGAGAGCTTTCAACTGAAAAGCAGCCTGCACAGAGAGCCATCATTACTGCAACTACACAATGCCTCAAAAAATTTTCCATTAGCCTGCTGGAAGCTGAATATGCATGCAGGCTACACTTTCAAAGGTTGCAGAGGAACTGTGTCTAGCCCCTATTCTATTTAGGGTACAAGGGAAGTCAGCCTTCTCCCTTCTCACGGTAACACTCAATGTAACACTATAAAATTTAAACTTTCAAAGATGAGAAAACTGAAAAACAGACTATGATCTCTTTCAGGTCCCATGTTCAGTCTGTCTCCCAAATAACAGTTGATTCTTTTAAGCTGGATGAAAAAAAGTGCATCAGATGAAGCAATTATTCTCTTGTGGACGTAAACAAAAACCGTGTTGTGGGAAACTTCTTACTGGAAGTTGAACCCTTTTGTCATCAGTACAGCAAAGGCTCTTCTGCCTACACAACCTCTAGACAGGCAAATAGACTGAGGTCTGATTAACCATGGACATACTTGAGGCAGTGATGCATGCAGCACAAAAGTTTGCCTTTAATGCATACAAGACTTTTATCTTAAGTAAGTACAATTAGCTTGCTGAATTTGCAATCAGTAGGTGTTTTGTATCACGCTTTTTAAAAGAAGTTGCTTCTAACTTTATTTTCTTTGAAGACAAACTATGGGATGCTAATCTGGATTCCTGCAGCAAGAGTTATCCTCTGCTTGCATAAATGGTCTTTAGGAAGACAATCAGAGGCATTTGTACTGATCCTGGCCCTAAGGAGGAGAGGCTCACAAGTTCACACTTCATGCTGTTTTTCTGGTGTATCATCTGAGTGCTGCAGGAACAGAAACAAATACATCTTATTTTCATGTGCTTAGAATGACAGATATGAGACTTTAACGTAAGCTGCAGGAAGGCAGAGATTATCAAACAGCAGGGCAGAAGGAAAAACATTTCCAAGAACACA